GGATATATGTGCTCAAGAAATACATACTGAGAACTTTGCTAGAGATTGAATTGCCCCATGTCTATATGAAAAATAAATAGAATATAAACATTTTAAATTGAGCCATGTCTCTCTGTAGTATATTTCTTTTATAGAAATTCATGGAAATGGTATCTTTTAACTGAATTATTAACATTGGGGGCAATAGGCTTTAATCATTATCTAATACCTGTACGTTGTTTTGAAATTCATAGCCCACCACCATTAATTTCAAAATTGGGTTCTTACTCAAAGAGTGACGAAAAAGCACCAGTACCAAATGGTCTGGCTAAAATGCCACATGGAACTAAATGCTGGGGATGGTCATACAATGAGTTTTAAGTGGCTAGACCCTAAATCAGAAGCACTTTCTTCTAATTAGCACCATGGTTCTTAATCCTGTCTATGCATTACAATCACTCGGTAGCTTAATACAAATGTTGCTTCCCGGGGCCACACTCCAAATTTGTCTGACTCTCTGATTTAGTTGGTCTGAATGGGGCCTACACATCTGGTATTTTTTAAAAAGTCTCCAAGCGATTCTAATGTGTACCTCCATTGAGGACCAGGGAAGGTGCAGGAAGCCTGATAACCTTTACTCTCCAGCCTCATCCTCCAATCGCATGATTGTTTATGGGATTGTTGCTGCACACCCAGCTTAGTCATAGCATTCTTACTCTAGCTTTTTTTTAGATGCGATGTTTATTTATTCTTTAAAAAAAAAGATTTCTTTAGCACCTTTATTCTGAAGAGCTCTTAATTGTTGTACTTAGAACTTCTAAACAGTGAGCATTTGTCAAACATAGAATAGCAGAATAAAGGGGTTGGACCTGGGGTGAGGAGGGCTGTCTCATGGTCTCCTTCGAGTGCTGGCGGTTGGGGGCTGCACGTCTCCTTACTTCTGGGCCCGTTGATAACTGACCTAAAAGTGCCTTTCTTTTTTTTCGGTGGGGGGTGAAAAAGTAATCTGTTTTGTACCCACAGCAGTGCACTTTAAACAGGAAGCCCCACTGGGGCCAGCCTTCTATGTGTCATTAAGTTTTTCAAGCTACATCCTACTTATCATCATGCACCCATGTCATCGTTCTTTTAAAAGGGTGCTAGTTGTGTGCTTAAGGACAAGGAGCTGTGACCTGTGTTGTCATCCCTGATGCATGTCCTGTGTGTGACTTCGTGACATGTGGATGACTTTTGATCTCTGAAGGATCAGGAACCCAGTCTGTGGATCTTCACTCCCTCCCTGGGTGGTTTGGGTCTTGTTCTCTAGCCCACCCACCCAGGTGCGATTAGGAATAAAGGAAAGAGAAAAGGAATTTTCCTCAAGGCCATGCCAAGCATTTCATCTTATATGAAAAAGAAAAGAGAGTGAGAGTGTGTGTGTGTGTGTGTGTGTGTGTGTGTGTGTGTGTGTGTGTGTTGGCTACATTTAGGTAGAAAACAGGCTGGTGAGAAGCGTAGAACTTGGTTAAAATTTCTAGCCAAAAGTAAGATTTTTAAAAAGATTTATTTCTGGATCCAATCCCTGTTGCCCATTTCTATGAATAATCACCATTTGTTTTAATGTGAATAATAGCACAGAGCAAATTCAGCCCCCTGAGTTTTACCATTTTAAGCGATTGCTTTAGGCCCATGAGGCATGTACTATTTATGAAGTTGCATGGGTAGTAATGGAAAAAACAACAATGACAGTAGTAACAGGTGACATTTATTGAAACTTGCAATGTGCCAGGCACTGTGCTGAGGGCATTACTTGCATTATTTCATTTAATCCTTACAAGAACTCTTTGAATTAGGTTGGTAATTATGCCCATTTTACAATTGAGGAAACTAAGGCTTGGAGAGGTCAAATAACTAGTCAGTGGAGGGGTCAGATTTTTCTTTTTAAAAAATTTATTTGTTTTTTTTTTAAGAGACAGGGTCTTGCTCTGTTACCCAGGCTGGAGTGCAGTGGTACAATCATAGCTCACTGTAGCCTTAAACTCCTGGGCTCAGGTGATCCTCCCAGCCCAGCCTCCCATGTAGCTGGGACTAGAGGCATGAGCCACTATGCCCGACTCATTTTTAAATGTTTTTTATAGAGATGACTAGGTGTGGTACCTGTAATCCCAGCACTTTGGGAGGCTGAGGTGGGCAGATTGCTTGAACCCAGGAATTCAAGACCATCCTGGGCAACATGGAGAAACCTTGTGTCTACAAAAAATACAAAAATCAACTGGGATGTGGTGGTGCGTGCCTATGGTTCCACTTACTTGGGAGGCTGAGGTAGGAGAATCACTTGAGCCCGGGAAGTTGAGGCTGCAGTGACCTGTGACCACCGCACTCTAGCCTGAGCATCGGAGTGAGACTGTCTTTCAAAAAATTATTTATGTATTTTTAAAAATAGAGACAGGGTATTGCTGTGTTGCCCAGGCCCGTCTTGAACTTTTGGCCTCAAGTGATCCTCCTGACTCAACCTCCCGAAGTGTTGAGATTGTAGGCATGTGCCACTGTGCCCAGCCTGAGATTTTGATCAGAGGATCATGACTCTGGGCGTTGACTCATTTGGCTGTCCTACAGTGTGAGTGTGGAAAGCTGTCACTGGAGTACAGCAAGTCAGCACTATCAAGCCAGCCCTTGTCATTGTCAGGAGCTGCGGGAAGAGAGGTGTTTTGCATTGCTGCAGGGAACTGACCTCTTTTAGTCAGGGAAGTAGTTTGGGGCAGCAGAAAGCAGAACTTGCACCTGCTGGTAAGATCTGAGTGGTCACTGACAACCACCTCCGCAACCCCGTTACCAGGGCAACAAAGATGGGCCCGGTAGCAGTGGTGGGCTCTGCCACATCTCTCTGTGCATAAGAACCTTTGGCCACTGTTGCTCTGGCTTTGTCTTTCACCAATCCTAGTGTTCATATCCAGTGTACCAACCACTGAGGGCAGCTGTCCTGGAATCTCTCTCTCATCTCTGCCCATAATTAACTGTTTCTGGGCACAGTGCATGAGTTACATAGGTGAGTGTGGGTAACTTTCTCCTTTCTGTGGGGGGGAGCATCCTTCTGGTCCACTCTCAGGAGGGCATCCTATGTTATTTTTATGATATTTTCCTAAGAGTTATATAGCAAGTGCATCAAGCCAACTTGTCTACCCCAGCTCCCTCTTGAGACCAGCAGAAACCATTTATCAACTGGCAGTTTACGTAACCTCTCTGGGCCTCAATTTCCTCATATAAAATGAGGATAATAAATCATATCTGCCTCATAGAGTTGCTGTGGGGAGTAAAGAGTTCAAATATATCTGTCAATGAAGGGAAAAAAAACAAAAACAAAAACAAAGAGTTCAAATATATCTAGCATTTAGACAGAACCAGGTATGCAGCCAGTGCCCAATAGGTGTGTGAGTTTCTGTGGCCACTGTAACAAATGACCACAAACTTAGTGGCTTAAAAGAACACACATTTATTATTTTACAGTTCTGGAGGTCAGAAGTCTAAGATGAGGTCAGGCGTGGTGGCTGAAGCCTGTAATCTCAGCACTTTGGGAGGCCGAGGTGGCAGGATCACTTGAGGTCAGAAGTTCCAGAGCAGCCTAGCCAATATGATGAAACCCCGTCTCTACTGAAAATACAAAAATTAACCAGGCATGGTTGTGAGCGCCTGTAATCCCAGCTCCTCGAGGAGACTGAGGCAGGAGAATCGCTTGAACCCAGGAGGTGGAGGTTGCAGTGAGCTGAGATCGTACCACTGCACTCCAGCCTGGGCAACAGAACACGACCCTGTTTCCAAAAAAGTAAAGTCTGTGATGATTTTTACTGGGCTGAGATCAGTGTAGACAAGGCTGCACTCTCTGGAGGCTCTAGGGCAGAATCTGTTTCCTTGCCTTTTCTACCTTCTAGAAGTTGCCTACATTCCTTGGCTTGTGGCCCCTTCCTCTGTGTTCAAAGCCATTGGTGTAACATCTTCAGATCTCTGTGACTCCGATCCTTGCTTCCATCTTATAAGGATCCTTGTGATTCATTGTACCCATCCAAATATCCCAGAAGAATCTTTCCATCCCAAGATCCATAACTTAAATCCCATCTGCAAAGTCCCTTTGCCATGTGTGGTAATATATTCACAGCTTCCAGAGATTAGGACATGGGCATCTTTGGAAAGGGGAAGGGGGCATTATTTGATCTAACATCAAAAGCATGAGATGTTTTTGTAAAATGAAACAAATGTTGCAGCTTCCTAATGCAGCTTCTTAGGCCCACCTGCTGGCCCCCTTGACGTTGGTTTTTCTCTACCTAGGTCTGTTGTGTCGGGTCTGGACTCCCCTGCCAAGACTAGCTCCATGGAAAAGAAACTTCTCATCAAAAGCAAAGAGCTACAAGACTCTCAGGACAAGTGTCACAAGGTATTTATTTCCGCAGCCGGCCTCCTTCTTTGCTCCAGGATCCTCCCGTCAGTATATGCCAAGGGATCCGCCCGGGGCCGCTGCTGGCTCTGAGCCGCCTGATCCGTAGAGAGTGAGGCACTCCTGCCCTCGCTGAAGTCGTGCCTCCAGCAGCTCAGAGGGAGATGAATTCGGGCCTTGCCGTTGCTGTAGATCCTTTAAATCTAAACCAGAGGAGGCCCTGGATTTAAACGGCCCGTTTCTCAGCATGACCCAGCCAGATGTCTGCTTCTTCCGGCAGGTGGCCTGGGTCCTCACCTGTGGCTGAGATACATCCCATCTGCTTTGAGTGATGCGAAGTCTCTCTTCCTAGTCTTTTAAAACTCCTGCTAATGTCACTGCGGCCACTGTGTTGATTACGCTCAACGTCTCTTAACATTCACTGTTCCTGCCCAGAGGCAACGCTCTGGAAACTAATAAGTCACTGCTTGCCTGGGACTCCTAAGAGTGCAGACGAATAAATATCTCCTTGCCCTATCCTGGATTTGTCCTCTAGATCTTTGCAAGGAGATGGGGGGGGATCAAGATGGATTTGGGATAAAATTAAAGTGACGTCTGCAAAACAAAACAAAAACAAAAGCAAACAGGTGAAAAATGATGATTGTGGCTTCCTTGCTAACTGGGTTAGAGAAGTGATCAAGTGTGAACCGGGACTTGAATGAGAGGAGTGACTTAGCATTTGGTGACTGTCCTTAACGAAGAACTGTGCGCTCCTGGGCGAAGAAACAATGGTATTTCCATCCCAACTTAACTTTTGGCGAATTAGCCTTAGCCCAGACCACCAGGTGGTTTCGGAGGCTACTTGAGATGTGATTGCTCCTAACGAACCTCCATGGGCCTTTTTAACCTGTCGATGTGTTTATTTCAGATGGAGCAGGAAATGACCCGGTTACATCGGAGAGTGTCAGAGGTGGAGGCTGTGCTTAGTCAGAAGGAGGTGGAGCTGAAGGCCTCTGAGACTCAGAGATCCCTCCTGGAGCAGGACCTTGCTACCTACATCACAGAATGCAGTGTGAGCCTTCCCTGAAGCCCCCTTCCCTTGGAGGTGGCACTTCTTGTTGTGTGTGTCTCATCCTGTTTCATGATGGCTCCATGAGGCACATCACAGCCAATGGCAGAGAGTAGAGAGAGAGAGAGCACAAAAGCAAGATCTGTGTTTTGCAGAGTAGTGACAGCCAGGCATGAGGTCCCCAGGAAATGAGATTGGACTCATTTCCAGCAGAAAGTGCAGGTAGACGGCTGGTACCACGGAGTCTGGAGATGGGAGTAATCCATCTTTGCCGCGGGTTGCAAAAGATCTTAACATCTCCCATCCCAACCTCTCTGGTCTGCATTGTGTCTGACATGAGCAGCCTTGAGAACCAGACTCCCAACTATGTACAAGAAAACTTACTTTCAATCTTCCTGACATCAGATTTTCCATTGGCCAGAACCAGTGTAGCGACAAGAAAATAGCCTCGAAAACCCAAACCCTCTGTCATTATTTACCATGTGACTTTCGTTTTTTCTTTCCTTCACAAGAGTAGACTGTCTTCTTCTCCATTGTCTTGTTAAATTTTTCATTCAGGTGTTTTTTTAATGTGCCCAATTAAACAGTCCTAAGAAGTTGAATCACACATTTCTAAAGTTTTTTTCACAAGGGAGAGGAAATCTATAGAACGTGGCTGATTAAGAATAACTGCTATGTTTCCATTCCAGACTTGGCTGCCTTTCAGTGGTGGGTGAAGTTATTCAGCTATGTATTTCAGATATAGATTTCAGTGCCATTGAAGCATTAAGGGATTCTTATGGATGAAAGGTGTCCAGGAAAAATAAGCCAGGAGGTAGAAATAGACCACTTGGAGTCTTAAATGACAACTGGGCAGAGGATATGAAGTCATTGCTACTTTGAAAGAGGCATATGTACTTTAGGGCCCACAAATAACTGTAGAAAACACTTTGTAGCCATCCACATGGTGATTGTAATAGCTACTGGGTCTTAATAGGTTTTAGTTCTGAACATGCAAGTAAGTATCTCCTAGGACAGTAGATGGTGGCAGGAGACAGGCTGATGCAGTTTCCGGCTGGATCCCTAAGGTCACCAGGTTGGGATGATGTTTCTTGAACCAAGGGGTTTTACAGGATGGAAACCGGAATCGGCAACGAACTGGAAGTTGTCAACTGTGGTCCGTCACTCGAAACCGTCCTGGTGTCTGCGAAGCAGCTTGCAGCTCTCTTAATGAGTCTTTTCAAACAAAGCAGGATCCACAGGGCATCCCTATTAAAATTTTTGCTTTCTGCAGAGCTTAAAGCGAAGTTTGGAGCAAGCACGGATGGAGGTGTCCCAGGAGGATGACAAAGCACTGCAGCTTCTCCATGATATCAGAGAGCAGAGCCGGAAGCTCCAAGAAATCAAAGAGCAGGTAGGCCTGCTTGCCTGGGAGCACAGCGGCATCTCGGCTCGCTCGGACCTCTAATTTCAGGAGAGGCATGTTTGAGACAGAAACAGGAAGAAAGGGAGAGAGGAGCAGAGTGGAAGAGAGGCAGGTATATAGGTCATTCAGAAACTTTAAGTTTCTCATAATTTATATACATCATAGAGTGCTTGTTCCAGCTCCTTTTGAAGCTGATACCCCATAATGTCCGCTTTTAAAAATAAAGATGTAGGTTTAGAGCAAGAGTGGGCAAACTTCAGCCTGTGGGGCAAAGCCGGTCCAACACCTATTTTCTGTGACCCACAAACTAAGAATGGGGTTTACATTTTTAAACAGTTGGGAAAAAAATCAAAAGAAAAACAGTATTTCATGACATTTGAAATTTATATGAAATTCAAATTTCAGTCTCCATAAATAAAGTGTTTTTTTTTTTTTTTGGAACACAGCCATGCTTGGTAATTTACATATTGGCCCTGGCTGCTTTCAGGCTACACAGTCAGAGGTGAGTGGTTGTTATGGAGACCACGTGGCCTGCAACGCTGAAAGTACTTACTGTCCCTTTTTACAGCAAAAGTTTGCCAATCCCTGCTTTAGATGGTTAAAAAAATTAAATGTTTTCATAGCTTTTCAGATGCACTTTAAGTTTTTGAGCGAAGCCAGGCTAATTCATAGTTTTACTTGTAGAAAGAAATATTCTACAAGAGAAGTTCGAACCATTCTGGTTGAGTCAGGATTGACACTGCGTATCTGAGTGCAGAAAGCTGTCCCCTGTGTTTTCAGAAAGGAAAAGCGAGACCTTTAAAAACTCCACTCTTTTTTTTTTTCTTTCTAAATGGGTTTTCTTTCTAAATGGCTCATTTTCGTATTGCCTCATTGTTTCCTTTTTAGCATGGATTTTTGTGTCTTTTGAAAAACCGTAAATAGAGATTTTAATGAAGAGATGGCAATGAGCAATTGGAGAGCTGAACTATCAGCTGCCAGGCAACTCTCATTCACTTCAGAAAATCTAATGGAAACATTGATGGAAATGAACATTTCTGTCTCTGGGTAGCACAAACTTAGCCATCTGGCTGGAGCTAACGCAAGAAACTCCTGCAAATAACTCTATCCATTAATTACTCTTTAAAAAAAGAATTACTGTCTTTGGAGTTTTGTTGGCATAATATATTTATCATCTGAATATTTTAAAGTTGTGATCGGTTAATATTCTGTTGCTTGATAAAAACATTATAAATAAATGTGCATAGGAAGGAAACCCTGTAAAGGATTATCAGATCTCTGAATAATGCAGTCTTAGAGGTTTTGAAGGCTGCACATGGGCTTTGAGAAATCTGCTTTGACAGTTGACTCATGCTCCTTTTATCAACATAGTTTTCATCCTAAAAGGTTCAAGAGGTAGGAATCATTTTCTCCCATTAGTTCAACATACCTGGAAATTTACTTTTGGTGACATCCTGGGGAAATGAAAGCTGTGTTTGGCCACCAGAGGGAGCAGCTGGTGTCCATAGATTCCTTAGAAACGGAATTATCAGGACATTTTGAAAAGGTATATGTTGGTGGCCGAGTTCAAAGAAATGCCTTTTATGATTCCTACCACAGCTGGCATGCATGTGGAGTCTTAGATTTAATGACTGCTAAAAGTTCCATTGTGGGGAAGAAAACTTCATGGTTTCAGATTTGATTTTTCATGGGAACAAGGATTTATTTTATGACTTTTGGTAAGTTTTGTGAGAGCAGGATGTTTGCAGACCAGAAGAAAGCTTTTAATGCTTGCAATAAACTTTCAGTATTTGGTTTGTGGCATATTGATTTTTTCCAGACTTGGGATTTAATCCCTGATCTTTCTCTTAAAAATCTAATTTTCTATATGGCTCTTTATTTTTATTTTTTTTGAGATGGAGTCTCGCTCTGTCGCTCAGGCTGGAGTGCAGTGGTGCGATTTCAGCTCACTGCAGCCCCCATCTCCCGGGTTCAAGTGATTCTCCTGCCTCAGCCTCCTGAGTAGCTGGGACTACAGGTGCTCACCACCACGCCCGGCTAATTTTTGTATTTTTAGTAGAGATGGGGTTTTACCATGTTGGTCACGCTTGAACTCCTGATCTCGTGATCTGCCCGCCTTGGTCTCCCAAAGTGCTGGGATTACAGGCATGAGCCACCGGACCTGGCCGGCTCTTTATTTTTTTCAAAAATATTTTACTTCCACCTAGCTACCCCCTCTAGAGTATTTAGATTTGGTTTAAAGAAAAACACCTCAAAGTCTCATGTGAAATTTTGATTCCTAGATCATTACTAGCAATTTCAGCTTCTTTCTTGCTCCTCTACTCAGGAAAGGAAATAAAAGTGTGGGTAACACAGAAGTCACTTGTGTTCCAGGGTTTCTGCGTGAATAGGATCATACCTGATCCTTCCTCCCCACAAAATTCTGAAGCTCCATTCAGAAGACTTGTGTTAGGTAGGCCTTGAAACCTGTCTGCGTTTCCCCATCCTGAGATACCACAGCTATCTCTCAGCTGGTCGTGCAAACGGACCCGATGATCACCTTTCAGGTTTTTCCTGAAGCAGGGATTTGGTTAGCTGCTGAATTTACAGGATTTCCTTGAAGTATCCAGTACAATATCAAAGGATCCACAAATGAGTTAGAATTCTCTTCTGATGCTTGTAGCAGGCTGGGTGCCCCAAGAGCTTGGAGAGCTGACAGAGTGGTTGCCTGGTTCCTGCCTTCCTCCCTCTTACGTGCTGACAGCTCAGGGAAGAGAGATGTTGGGGGGGAAGGAACAGACACTCTGTCCTCGCTCTTGACAAAACACAAAATTTACATTCCCTTCTCGCCGACATAAATTCAAGAAAGAAAAGGGAGCTTGAGGACAAAAGAAACTCAAGATTTGGTGTCGACGCCTGTAGCTAGGACTGGCTTTCCCATTAGCTCTAGCAGGCATGGTAGCTAGGGACCGCTGTACTTTTAGGGTCTCATAACATGTTTTAATTTTTTCATCAGAAGAAAAAAGTTGGGCTTAGGTCAAAGACACTGTTTTCATAGATGATATTAATATTTTTGTATTTATAAGAGCACAATTGTAAAATGTAATTTTTATTTTTATGGAGGAAGTCAAGGAAGGCTCAGTGCTCACAGCTATGAAAGCCATAATATGGCTCTGGTTGAGGGGGTCCAGAAAAACCGATGTTCCATTTCACCTACAGCTCATGTTCTGCCCTGTGAATTTATTTATTTATTTGAGATGGAGTCTTGCTCTGTCACCCAGGCTGGAGGGCAGTGGCGTAATCTCAGCTCACTGCAACCTCTGCCTCCCAGGTTCAAGCAATTCTCCTGTCTCAGCCTTCCAAGTAACTGGGATTACAGGCACCCACCATCATGACCAGCTAATTTTTGTATATTTTGTAGAGATGGGGTTTCACCATGTTGGCCAGGCTGGTCTCGAACTCTTAACCTCAAGTGATCTGCCCACCTTGGGCTCCCAAAGTGCTGGGATTACAGGCATGAACCACTGTGCCTGGCCTGCCCTGTGAGTTTAGATAATTGGGAGCAGGTTATAAAGACGTTTGGTTATGTAATCCAGCATCGCCTGCTTAGTATGCATGACCCACGAAACCTGTGTGCCCCAGGATTCTGAGGACTGACCTTCAGTAACATATGCTTTTGGGTGGGAGAGAGTGAAATGAGACCCGTGTTCCATTTTGGGCTGTTTTTTCCTTTCTCCTTTACAGATAATATAGGGAGAGGTGTACTTGCATGGAAACCATCCAGTTTTCATAAGAGCAGCAGTTCCCCTTTAATATGCTCTGGGGGGGGTCACCTGCTACAATAGGATAAAAGGTTTCCTTTATACCCTGTTATTTAAAAATTACAGTTTATCAGTTAAAAGAATATCCTTGCTCAATCGATTATTTCTTGGGAGAAATATTCAAATATTCCTCACCAATTATTTCTTGGGAGAATGGATCTCAGAGATATTACTGAATATTGTGATTTTCAAAGACTTCTTGATGCAATTCCTTGTTCATTTCATTTTGTATCTCTCTCGTCCTCACCCCACAAGTCACCTTGGATTACATAAGTGCTCATTCATAATCCTTATACTTAGCCTTGATTTTTGCTAACACAGAATGTTTTTATACTTTGTCCAAAAGTTTTCAAAATCACTGGCCATTTCTTCTGGTAAACCCAGTTCTGAGAAACTTGAATGTAAATGTTTTGATTTTAGAAATGCATTTTGGAAAAGGTTGGGCCGTTTGGATCACTTAAAGGGTTTGCCCAAGGGAACAGGAGAGTTCTTTCCTTGGAATTTTTCTCACAAGTTATTTTGACCGAAGCCAGTGTTTTGTGACTCTTCCAAATTTCAGGGTGACTTGCATTGCAGGAGCGATGTTACGGTCATCATTCAGTTTTGGGCCCAGAAAAATTAATGGTGAGAAACTGACATGATGAGTTTCACCTTCCAGAATTCTTTCCACTGAGATTTTCAATTACCCTCTTGTGCTGTCTGAAAGGTTAATTTGAAAACTAGTACCATATCTAATTTGTGTTAGGAGCACATGACTTCTAAAGGACAAATCTGTATAAATGATTACCCTTGGCGGAAAACTACACGTAAGCGGTTTATCCTTGTTGTTTAAAGAACATCCCTTTCGGCTCTCCTGTTAGGCCTTAAGGGTCTGTGCATATTGTATGGTGTGATTTGCATGTGTGTTCCCAGTGGTTTTATTAATGACATATGCTCTACATTGAAACAGTCTTTTGTTTTGTTTTTGTTTTTGTTTTTGTTTTTTATTTTTTCTTTTGAGACAGAGTCTTGCTCTGTCACCCAGGCTGGAGTGCAGTGGCGTGATCTCAGCTCACTGCAACCTCTGCCTCCTGGGTCCAAGCGATTCATCTGCCTCAGCCTCCTGAGTAGCTGGGATTACAGGCACCCACCACCATGCCCGGCTAATTTTTGTATTTTTAGTAGAGACGGATATCACCATGTTGGCCATGCTGGTCTCGAATTCCTGACCCCGTGATCTGCCCGCCTCAGCCTCCCTAAGTGCTGAGATTACAGGCATGAGCCACCACACCCAGCCAAAACAGTTTTAAGGTTTAATTTTTTTTCTTTCTCGTCTTCACCCCACACTTCTCGCCTTTGCCTACTTGGTGCCTCATTCTGGGTGCATCTTTCTACTCCCCTCGTCTCTAGGTCTGTAGGTCTTTTCTTTTTCTTTTTCTTTTATTTTTTTAATTTTTGAGATGGAGTCTTGCCCTGTTACCCAGGCTAGAGTGCAGCGGCGCGATCTCGGCTCACTGCAACCTCTGCCTCCCAGGTTCAAGCGATTCTCCTGCCTCAGCCTGCTGAGTAGCTGGGACTTTAGGCCTGCACCACCACACCCAGCTAATTTTTATATTTTGAGTAGAGACAGGATTTCACCATGTTGACCAGGCTGGTTTTGAACTCCTGACCTCAGGTGATCCACCCACCTTGGCCTCCCAAAGTTTTGGGATTACAGGTGTGAGCCACCTTGCCCGGCCAGGTCTTTTTTTGCCAATCTCTCTTCACTGTGCATCTTCCCTGTGTGGTTAATACTCTTCCATCCTCACTGCCTGTCTATTCTTTTCAGAGTTCTAAAGTTCACTTTTATTCCATTGCCTGCTCTTTAGGAGTACCAGGCTCAAGTGGAAGAAATGAGGTTGATGATGAATCAGTTGGAAGAGGACCTTGTCTCAGCAAGAAGACGGAGTGATCTCTATGAATCTGAGCTGAGAGAGTCTCGGCTCGCTGCTGAAGAATTCAAGCGGAAAGCGACAGAATGTCAGCATAAACTGTTGAAGGTAGTCAGCCACCCTCCAGGAGGGTGGTTTTTGGATAAAATCATACATGATCTTAGCAAGAAAAAGGAGAACCTAGTTTAATGAGAAACAACCTAGTTTGAGAAATAGTAGGATACCTTGGAAAACCCTTGGTCTTTATTTACAGAAGATAACATTCTTATTTACTATTATTATCTTGGTCACAGAGACCAAGTAGTCTACATGACTTTTAGGTTGTTGAGATTTCCCAATATGTTGTGTCTTTTTAATTACAGGCTAAGGATCAAGGGAAGCCTGAAGTGGGAGAATATGCGAAACTGGAGAAGGTATACTTTCCATGATTGGTTTTGCTATTAATATTTTGGGTAGATAACATTTTTCATGTTGTTATCAGTGGCCCATCATTGATGAAGAGTATTCTTAATGAATAGAGACCTCTCTTCGAGGCTTATTTTGATAGTCCACCTTTGGGTGACAACATTTAACTATGGCTCTAAAAGAGGTAAAAGGCAGCTCATTTTTGTCATGCCTGCCCACAGCAACAAACCCAGACACTTAGTAAAACATACATGAAAATTGTTATTGTCTTAAAGCACTGAGCGACTTTCTCTTTTTGCCATTTGTATGTTGCTGGTCCTACGTACATCGTCAACATGGAGCTTTGCACTGGGACAAAGTCTTCCCTGAGAGGCCACTGTTCTTCCTCTTCCTTAGTAGGTTCTGAAAACCCAAAGAAAAAGACCCCATAGAAACCTCAAGAGAATAGGACTGCAATAAATGTAGCAAGATGTTAATGCTGATTTGCCTTTTGCTTTATTTCCTGGAATTTTAATTATAGATCAATGCTGAGCAGCAGCTCAAAATTCAGGAGCTCCAAGAGAAACTGGAGAAGGTAAGCCCGAGGTGATTTTTCAGGAACTTACCCCCCCACCCCACCTCCTTTCCAAACGTCTTTCTTTGCCTTGTCCCAGAGCACGAAAGATGAAAGAAACAGAATTAGTCACCCAGCACTGAGGAAAATGAAGGGGGAGTGAGCGATTACCTGAAAATATCAGAGTTCTGAATATAGTTTTTCCTTTTGAGACATGTCAGCAGTGTTTATTTTTAAAAACCAAGCTGTGTGAGACTCTCAAGTAAAAGTTCTAATTATACTACGACAGAACCCAAGAGGCCTGCATCTCTCGCCTCAGGGGGCCTGGCACCTCATTTATGCACATTTGTAAGAGAAGCAGTTCCCCACCCAGACTGCTTTCCGCCAGCAGGAGGCCTGCCCTGCAGAAGACTGGAGGAGCCTTGGGGTTGTCACGTGATTGGGAAGGGGCGTGAGTTTGGTTTATAGCATCCTGCAAAGTTTGTGCTAATGGCCCTCCTTTTATTTAATTGTTTAATTATTTAAGTAAAAAAAATTTTTTTGAGATGGAGTCTTGCTCTGTTGCCCAGGCTGGAGTGCAGTGGTACGATCTTGGCTCACTGCAACCTCTGCCTCCCGGGTTTAAGGGATCCTTCTGCCTCAGCCCCCAGAATAGCTGGGATTACAGGCATGCACCACCACACCCTGCTAATTTTTGTATTTTTAGTAGACACAGGGTTTCACCATGTTGGTCAGGCTGGTCTCGAACTCCTGACCTCAGGTGATCTGCGTGCCTTGGCCTCCCAAAGTGCTGGGATTATAGGCACCAGCCACTGCACCTGGCCAACTTATTTAACTTTTTTGAGTCAGGGTCTCACTCTGTCACCCAGGTTGGAGTGCAGGGCATGATCATGGCTCACTACAGCCTTGACTTCACAGGCTCAGGTGATCCTCCCACCTATGCCTCCAGAGTAGCTGGGACCACAGGTGTGCACCACTATGCCCAGCTGATTTTCTGTATTTTCTGTAGAGATAGGATTTTGCCATGGTGCCTAGGCTGGTCTCAAACACCTGGACTCAAGTGATCCACCTGCCATTGCTTCCCAAGATGCTGGGATTACAGGCATGAGCCACTGTACCTGACCATTTTATCTTGTTTTTAAAATTTTTATTAATTTTTCCCCTAGCTTCATTAAGGTATAGTTGGCAAATAATAATTGCATAAACTTATGGTATGCAATGTGATGTACACACACACACACACACACACACACACACACACACATTGTGAAGTGATTAAGTCAAGCCAGCTGACAGATCCATCACCTCACATTCTTCTTATGTTTTTTTGTGGTGAGAACATTTAAGAACAATTTTCAAGCCCTTCCTTTAGTTGAACACTGGAAATGCTTAATGGAAGGGCCAGAATGAATGTGGCTGTGGAACATACCTTTGGCATTGAGAATGTTTGTGAATGTGTTTGCTGGCTTGGTTTAATAGAGTTCCTCCTCCTCCTCCTTTTTTAAAATTGTGGTAAAAAACCCACATAACGTTAAATTACCACCTTAACCATTTTTAAGTGTACAGTTCAGTTGTGCTAAGTTTATTACCATTATGGGCAGTGGATCTCTGGAACGTTTTTGTCCTGTTACACTGAAACTCTATAACCACCAAATATGAATTCCTCTCATCCCCCCCACCTTTCTATTTTCTGTTTCTATGATTTTGACTACTTTATGTACCTCTCATAACTGGAATCATACAGTGTTTGTCCTTTTGTGATTGGCTTATTTCATTTAGCATAATGTCCTAAAGTTGCATTCATGTGGTAGCATGTATCAGAATTTCCTTTCTTCTTAAGGTGGAATCATATTCTAGTTTATGGATATACTGCTTTTTGCTTATCCACTGTTTGCCCCCTGCTTCCTTATTCTTGAGCTCTCTAATAAAAGCCCTCATGGCCCTCTTTAGCCAGAAGCTTGTGAGAGGATGCACGTCTCCATCTAGAACTGTGCTCTCCAATCAAAGTGTGAGGGAGCCACAAATATTACTCACAGATGTAATTTAAAATTTTCCAGTAGCCACATTTAAAAACAGCAAAAACAGGCCAGGCCTGGTGGCTCACGCCTATAATCCCAGCACTTTGGGAGGCTGAGGCGGGCAGATCACCTGAGGTCAGGAGTTCGAGACCAGCCTGACCAACATGGTGAAACCCTGTCTCTACTAAAAATACAAAATTAGCTGGACGTGGTGGCGCATGCCTGTAATCCTAGCTACTTGGGAGGCTGAGGCAGGAGAATCACTTGAACCTCAGGAGGCGGAGGTTGCGGCGAGCCGAGATTGCGCCATTGTACTCCAGCCTGGGCAACAAGAGCAAAATTCTGTCTCAAAAAAAGAAAACCAAAACAAACAAACAATAAAAACAGCAAAAACAAGCGAAGTCATTTGAATGATATGTTTGTTTTTAACCCAGTGTATCTCAATATTTCCCATAGAAAAATTAACAAATGAGATAATTAAAATAAGGAGAAAATTAATGCTTCAAGGCAAATACATTGATATCTGGGTAGATCAGTCCATTTGGATCTTTCTATTTCCATTCACTGTCTTGCATCGAATCGAAGATGCTAATGATTTTCAGATACACCATTATCTTACATACCCCAAGAAAGAAAAATGCATCAATTTTAATTGTAGGATGCATTTCAAATTCAGTGATGTTAAAAAATGTGCACCTTAGAATAATGAAATACAGAATTAAATGATTGTGTATTTGTTTTGACAAATGGTAAACTCAGTATTACCTGCTTTTTTTATTTAGGACACTGTGACTATCTTTTTTTTTTTTTTTTTTTAGATGATACTTTAAGTTCTGGGATACATGTGCAGAATGTACTGTCACCATCTTTTTACATGAATAAATTTGGCCACTTATCTCCTTTTCCTCCTCTCTTCCTAGGCTGTAAAAGCCAGCACCGAGGCCACCGAGCTGCTGCAGAATATCCGCCAGGCAAAGGAGCGAGCCGAGAGGGAGCTGGAGAAGCTGCAGAACCGAGAGGATTCTTCTGAAGGCATTAGAAAGAAGCTGGTGGAAGCCGAGGTGAGCAGGGAACCTCCAGCCCAGGCCCCAGCGGCCTCGGCCTTTGGCTGTGCCCAAGGAAAGAAACTGCCAGACCATCCCTTGCTTATGTTTGGCCAAGCTGCTTTCCCTTCTGAAGATCCCTTTGAAACCTGAGAGGCTGGGAATCATTTCCCCCCAGGGGAAAGAAAGATTTGTCAGAGCAGCTTCAAGTAGAAAGATGTCTTCATAGAAGCTTTTTCTTTCTGTTTATTTTCCTCTGACCTACTCACTAATCTGGGACAATTTTTATTTTTATAGGTTAACCGAAGCTCCATCACTGGGTTTTTCTTTCTCTTCCCTCTGTTTTTTCCTCGTCTTTCCCCTCCGTGATATTAATAGCATATTAATTTTCAAGACTTCACCGATTACCTGCGTGTCAATGACTCTCAGATCTATATTTTTGGGCCTCTTCTCTACTTTAAATTCTTTGTTGTTGTTGTTGTTGTTGAAATCATTTGTATAATTTTACCAGAACGACATGAGTGCCTTTTCATTGTAAAAAACTTAGTACAGAAGAATACAGGATAAAAAGCAATTCTTCGCCTTTACTCATATCTGCCTCCTCTGCCCCTTGGTGTTTGTCCCACAGAAGGGGCATGCCATAGTTGATTTCACCCTCCTCCTATTGCTGGGTCTTTTGCTTTTCCCTGTTACATTCTTGATGTGAACCTCCTGGTACATGTCTCTTTCGGGCCATCCTCACCCACATTTGTCTGCATATCCCCCAGCTCCTCTACATTCCAACTGAGTGTCTGAATGGTGCATCAGATTTAGAATGAACTCAGTCTCTTCCCTGGCAAGCTTGGTTTCCCTTCTCACTTTCCTCATGCCAGGCAGGGCCACCATCATTCGTCTGGTCATTCCAGGCTTCAAACCTTGGTGTCCTTTCCTTTTCTCTGGACCCTGCTATTCAGTGAGTCCCTCCGTCCTATAAATGCAACCATACATCTCCTGTTCATCTCCTGCTTCCCATTTCTGTAGCCCTCCTTGTAGTCTAAGCCCTCCCCTCTTAGCTGAGCAAATCTAATAATTTCTCGGCCATCTGCCTCCAGCTTCTCCTTCCTTCCAGCTAGTTCCCACAGTGAAAGATTCATGGACCTCAAGAACCAGATTTCTCAGAATTCCCTGCCCCATCCCAAACCTTTCTGGGTTCCATAATGCCCAGGTGTACCCCTGAGCCTGGTACCTGAAACCCTCAACCTTTGACCTTTCTGCTTTTCACCTGCCCTTCCCCTGAACACGTGCTGTGCTGTAGCCATTCCAGGCTTCGCTTGGGGTCCAAACTGGCTCTTGACCACTGCTGTGTTTCTGCTAGTGTGTCTCCTTTTGTCTGAAACATTTCCCCCTCCTCTCCTGTCCTTCCTACTGCAAAACACCATATACCACCCCCCTCCAGAGCTCACACCTCTCTGATGTCTCTGCTCAACTGTCCAATTAAAAGTCCTCTGTCCTGCCTGCAACCTCCTGCGGCACTTTGTACCTCTTTGCTTTATGGTTCTTCCTCATCTTAACCTATATTATGATTATTTGTGTTTATCTTATCTCCTCCAAGGGCAGGAATGATGCCATCTTCCTCTGTATTTTCCGTGATGCCTAGCGTGGCACTTTGCAGATAGTAGGTGCTTGGTAAATATTTGAATGAATGAATGCACTCTTGTAACCTACACAACTGAGTACCTGGATTATAGAGTCTTATTTTCTCTACTGTTGCTTCGGGTGCCTGAGGCTTTTCTTCCTGACTCGAGTGTATGCTTCTTGAGGGCTCTTTCCCTCGGTGCAGGTGTTATGCCCATAGCGGTTACTCCATTAAAACTCTCTGATTGATTCATGATCTACAGGAACGTCGCCATTCTCTGGAGAACAAGGTAAAGAGACTAGAGACCATGGAGCGTAGAGAAAACAGACTGAAGGATGACATCCAGACAAAATCCCAACAGATCCAGCAGATGGCTGATAAAATTCTGGTGAGCAGGAATGAAAGTTGCAAAGTTAAAAGATAACAGATTAGAGGTTGCAAAGGGAAGGGGGTTAGAAGAAGAATTAACCACCACAATAAGGGAGGTATCTCCAAGTAGATGAATTAAGTGAGGTGGTTTCAGCATATACCACATCGTAGAGTAGTATGAATAACCAAATAACGGACATTTCAGCACTGGTAACAGATCCGTAGATATCATTTTTTTGCTCTTTTTGCTACAGCCTGGCTTTTTTTTTTTTCTAAAGTAGAACGTGCATCTATCATTTTCAGTACATTTTTATAGGAGTGTTGACATATTTCTATCAGCAGAGCTTTGAATAGCCGTCAACTTTGCAATGACAATTTAAAAAGCTGTAGGGGTTTAGAACTTTAAGACTGAAATTCAGATTCTTGCTTTTAGAGAAGAAAGCAATTAGTCATATAGAATTGTTTTGCTAGGAGTAGTATTTGTCATAGATCCATGTTCACCCACTCACTTTCTCTGCTACAGTTGGTTATTATTATTATTACTTTTTCAATTTTCTTAGATATAGCAGGTCTTTTTTTAGGGTCTATAGTCATCCTGATTCTGTCTCAGGCTCTGATGACCAAATTAACTTGATCAAGGAAGACTCGGGTGGTATTTGCAGATGTGTTGACGTTTTGCCCCTGCCAGAGTGGAAGACAGCACCTCCTTTGAAGGGCTCTCCTTGGACCTCAGTCCCACAGCCAGAAATTTGACATCATGTTTGAGACTCAAGGATGACTTGGAGTCCATTCCTATCCCACCTGGGGAGAGACTCTGAAGTCATTGGTCATTCCTCTCCACCCTAAGGAGGCAAGGTGGTGAGCAGGGTACTTCATCTCTCTCTCTTCACATCACTTCTGGGAAATGAGTCACCAGCAACTGTTGGAATTCCAGAGTGGCCAACTTATAGGTCTATACTTAATACCAAATCAAACTGTTTACAACTTTACATTTCTGTTTGTGTATATTTATAAATATATGGATGTTCTCGAATCAACAGGTAAAAGAAAAATGGGTTAAATTGTTTTGCTATGACACCCAGTCTTTGTATATATGTCTGCACACAAAGACAGATGTGACTGTTAGTCTGCCCTTTCTGTTCTCTTGTTCCGTCATCAAAGTTTCTCTTGGCTATTGTCAAGTGTTTGAATTTTATCATGAATATAAAATCAGATCCCGCTGAGATCCCACCGCTGCTATCCCTTGCTTGGTATAAACAAAGTGGTTAACTCTCTTGTGGTTGCAAAGTGTTTCTCTGTTTAATGGTGATGTGTTCATTCATTCATTCAACAAATATTTAATGAGCTTCTACTATGTGCCAGGCACTGTTCTAGGAGCTGGAAATTTAGCAGCAAACAACAGTATTTGCATAACAGCACTGAAGAGTTGATCCAATACATCTAGAAAATATCTGTTTAAAAAATGACAACAACAACAAAAAATGCCAAACCACCAAGAAGTCAGATTTGTAGAAGATCTGCTCTTCCTAAGGTTCACTTACAATTAAAATGGAGGAGTAGAGAGTTCTGCATTCTTGGATTACGTGTTATAAACTCCCGTTCACAAATAGACCAGAAATTTGGTCTTAAAGTTGTCAGTGTCAGATACCTGAGTTTTTTTTTTCCATCTAATTTTAGATTCTGATTTCCTTTCCTGTGCTATCTTATGAAGACTGAAACTGGAAAAAAAATAAAAAAGATGATTATCAAATGATTTCTAACATAAAGGAAAAATAAGCAGATTTCTTTGTCCGAGTGTATCTTGCCACCTGCCGGAGTACCTTTGTGGTTGTGACTTCATTTATTAGAAGGTGCCTTTTGCTCAAGAACCCTGTGCTTAGGCTGCAAAGTATCTAGGACGTGGGCAAAGAGTGGTCCTTAGTACCATTATGTAATGATGACTGAGCATAGATCCCCAAATGTCATTGCCTTTAAAATATTTGCTATTCTGATAAGAACTTTCAAAACAGATAATGGTACACTCATTACAGTAGAGTCTTTGGCCTTAATAAAAGAAGTTATTGCAAGAGATCCTTTAGCCAAGTACATACAGAACCTTTTAAAATAGGTTTTTATTAATCCTGTTTATTTTCAACTCTTCAAGATCACATCTGTTGAATTGCGGGAGATCTTGTGCACCTGGTCTTAAGACTGAACTTTAATTGCCCTCAAAGCAAATCCAATGCTTGTAGACTTTAGAATTTCAAAAGCTTAATCACTAACATTTTAAGTGCATGTGAATCTCTAAGTAACTTTTTCACCCCCATTTTATGAACATATCCTATATAATTTCCTCATTCTTCAAAACCCTCATAATTGCTTCCACTTCAAAGAAAAATTTCATAGTAGTATAAAGAGTTGAAAACTTGGAGTAATGACTCGGTATTAGTAATTAACTGATGGGTCCAGATTCATAAGAATTAATATAGATGCAGCTATCTGTACATTTACAGAATGTTTTAGTGAATTGAATGCTGCCTTTTATAAGGTCAGTTTATAAAATATTGGCAAATGAACTGCTATAATTTTCAAGTGAATTACAATTTTGTTTAAAAGCTAGAAACTTGGCCAGGCATGGTGGCTCATGCCTGTAATCCCAGCACTTTGGGAGGCCGAGGCGGGTGGATCACCTGAGGTCAGGAGTTTGAAACCAGCCTGACCAACATGGTGAAACCCTGTCTCTACTAAAAATACAAAAATTAGCCGGGCATGGTGGTGCATGCCTGTAATCCCAGCTACTCGGGAGACTGAGACATATGAGAATTGCTTGAACCTGGGAGGCGAAGGTTGCAGTGAGCCAAGATCGTGTCAGTGCACTCCAGCCTGGGCAACAAGAGAAAAACTCCGTTTAAAAAAAAAAAAAAAAACCCTGGACACTTAATAATAAAAGAATTAAGAGAACATTAAATGTAGGCTATTTATATTACTCCAGATTCTCTTCTAATCTTTAATATGTCTGTGTACATTTTTATGTCATTATCAGTGTATTGAATGTTTGTCTTTGTCCCCATTTGCATTGTATCATATGAACATCACGTCACATGCACATCTACAGATAGTCACATACACCACTTGGTGTCAGTTAAAATAATCATTCAAAACTTGAAGTGCTTGGATTGTAACATTAGTTTTCCTTTTTAGCTAGGGTTCTTGAGCAATAATTCTGTTAATGAGGAAAATACAATTTTAAAATCATAATCATATACTAAAATGACTTTTCTCATTTAAGCCTGTCATCACAGTGAAAATGGCCTGAGGTTCAAGATAGTGGTCAGGGCTTTGTCCTGTACTAAACTTTCCAATATTACCTTGTTACTCTTATTTCTCTATGCAAAGATGAAGAGCTGCCTTTGTTTGACCTGTCACACTGACGTATTTGTGGTCTCAGGCCTTACAGCCCACCAGCTATGTGTGTATGTGTGTGCGAATACTTGGACTTGGAAAACCCAGGGCCAAGGCACAGTGGTGGTTTCCTTCCCAAGAGCCTTAGGCTAGTAATGGAGGACCAGATGCCTGTTACCTGTGGTACCTGTACCAAAGTCATATTTCCTGTGAATGTCTAATGTGCATTGGCGGTGTCCTGCCCTCTGCACACCTGACTGTTTTTTCTTTTGTGTCTAGGAACTCGAAGAGAAACATCGGGAGGCCCAAGTCTCAGCCCAGCACCTAGAAGTACACCTGAAACAGAAAGAGCAGCACTACGAGGAAAAGATTAAAGTAAAGACATTTTCTGATCTTCCCTGGCCTTCCTCTTATAGTAGCATGTAGCTCCCATCTTTTCCTGGGCCCTTGTGGCCACTTCTTGCTAGACCAAAGTTCTGTTTGGGGTGAATACTGTCCTTATTCCATGGTGGGAGATTTCAGAGTGTTACTTACGTGAAGGATTGGAAATCTGAAGTTCCAAAAAAAACCTATTTTTTTTTTTTTTTAAATGTGGTCATCATTTATTTCAATTTCATCTTTAAAATGATTTTTAAACTAATTGTCGTTTAATCCATGATCATTTCTATAATCCTTTTCTTTTTATAATTTTTAATTTTTGTGGGTACATAGTAGGTGTATATATTTGTGGGGTACATGAGATGTTTTGATACAGGCCTGCAATGTGAAATAAGCACATCATAGAGAATGGGGTAGCCTCTCCCCTCAAGCATTTATCCTTTGAGTTACAAATAATCCAATTACATTCTTTAAGTTATTTTAAAATACACAATTAAGTTACTGTTGACTATAGTCATCCTATTGTACTCTCAAATACTAGGTCTTGTTCATTCTATTTTTTTGTGGCCATTGACCATCCCCACCTTTCCTACAACCCCTTCTACGCTTCCCAACCTCTGTTAACCATCCTTCTATACTCTATGTCCGTGAGTTTAATTAAGGTGATTTTTAGGTCCCATAAATAAGTGAGAATATGGGATGTTTGTCCTTTTGTGCCTGGCTTATTTCAGTTAATATAATGATCTCCAGTTCCATCCATGTTGTTGCAAATGACTGGATCTCATTCCTTTTTATGGTTGAATAGTACTCCATTGCTGTATCTGTACCACATTTTCTTTCTTTTTTTTTTTCCCTTCAACTTTTAAGTTCTGGGGTACATGTTCAGGATGTGCAGGTTTGTTACACAGGTAAACAACATGTGCCATGGTGACTGGCTGCACAGATCAACCCATCACCTAGGTCTTAAGCCCAGCATGCATTAGCTATTCTTCCTATCTTTCTGATGCTCCCCCCACCCCAGCCCTGCCGACAGGGTTTGTGTTGTTCCCTGCCCTGTGTCCATATACCACATTTTCTTTATCCATTCATCCGCTGATGGACGCTTGGGGGGGTCGTTTCCAAATCTTAGCTATTTTAAATAGTACTGCAGCAAACATGGGAGTGCAGATATCTCTTTGATATACTGATTTCCTTTTCTTTCCTTTCCAGCAGTGGGATTGCTGGATCATATGGTAGTTCGATTTTTCTTTGGCTTTTTCTTTAAAATTTTACTTTACCTTTAATTTTTCTGAGGCTTACTGTGTTGTGTCTAAATGTGGATTTCTTGGCTAGGTGTGGTGGCTCATGCCTATAATTCTAGCACTTTGGGACTTTGGGAGGCCGAGACGGGTGAATCACTTGAGTCTAGGAATTTAAGACTAGCCTGGGCAACTTGGTGAGACTCCTGTCTCTACAAAAAATACAAAAACTAGCTGGGTGTGGTGGCACGCACCTGTAGTTCCAGCTACTTGGGAGGCTGGGATGGGAGAATTGCTTGAACTTGGGAGGTGGAGGTTGCAGTGAGCTGAGATTGCACCACTTCACTCCAGCCTGGGGGACAGAGTGAGACCCTGTCTCAAAGAACAAAAAAAAAAAGTCAATTTCTTTTTACTTATCTTCCTCTGCTTGAGATTTACTGGACTTTAAAATATATATGTTATTATTATTATTATTTTTTTTAGAGACACAGTCTTGCTCAGCGCAGTAGACTCAGGTGATCTTTCCACCTCAGCCACCCAAGTGGCTGGGACCATAGGCAACATGACACCATACCTGGCTATTTAAAAAATATTTTTTTGTAGAGATGGGGCCTCCTAGGCTTTTGAATAGATTCATATCTTTTTATTTACTCTAGAAAGTTAGTGGTCATTGTATCTCAAATATTGTCTCTTCCCCTTCTCTCTTTTCCTTTTAAGAATTTGATTGGGGTTGGGTGCGGTGACTCGCGCCTGTAATCCCAGCACTTGGGTGGCAGAGGCGGGTGGATCACCTGAGGTCAGGGGTTCAAGACCAGCCTGGCCAACATGGTGAAATCCCGCTTCTATTGGGTGGCAGAGGCGGGTGGATCACCTGAAGTCAGGAGTTCAAGACCAGCCTGGCCAACATGGTGAAACCCTGCCTCTACTAAAAATACAAAAATAATTATCCAGGCGTGGTGGCGTGCACCTGTAGTCCCAGCTACTTGGGAGGCTGAGACAGGAGAATCTCTTGAACCCAGTGAGGAGAGGTTGCAGTGAGCCGAGATTTCACCACTGCACTCCAGCCTGAGCGACAGAGTGAGACTCTGTCTCAAAAAAGAAAAAAAAAGAATTTGTTTGGGCATCAGTTAGATCAGCTTCAATTTAGCCTTTTAAAATATTTTCTATTTCTTTGTTTCTTTGTGCTACATTTTGGGTAGGTTCTTCTGACATATTTTCCAATTTGTGAATTCTTTCTTAGCTGTGTCTAATCTGCTGTTCCACTGAGTTTTTTTCTTTTCTTTCTTTTTTTTTTTTTTTGAGACAGGATCTCACTCTGTTACCCAGGCTGGAGTGCAGTGGTGCAGTCATAGCTCACTGCAACCTGGGCTTAAGCAATCCTCCCACCTCAGCCTCCTGAGTAGCTGGGACTATAGGTGCATGCCACCATGCCTGGGTAATTTTAAAATTTTCTGTTGAGTTTTAATTTCGGTTGTTATATTTTTTACTTCTAGACATTCTATTTGGGTCATTCCCAAGTTTGCTAGATTATTTAAAACAATCATCTTCTGTTCTGTGCATTCATTTTCAAGCCTAACTTTTCTTTCTTTAAATGTATTGAGCATAGTTATTTTATCATCTGTACCTGACAACTCCACTATGTGAAGTATTTGAAGGTTTGTTTCTGCTCTGTTGTTTCTCTTGGTTCTTTGTCATGGTGACTGTTTTATTTTCCTTGGAGAATTATTAATGGAAATTCTTTGAGGCCTTGGATGAAATGTGTGCCCACCTTGGTGGGTGATCGGGGGCTCTCATTGCTGCCTTTTCTTGACCACTGAGGCTATAAAAACTGAAACTCAAGTTCATTTGTTTCAGTAAATACCTCAGGTTAAACCCTTCTTACTTCTCCCTGCTTCTGTTTTACTTAGTTTTTGGTAATTTCTTACTCTCTTGCCAACTTGTAGGTGCTTTTGGGAAAATGTTTTTTATATTTTATTTAGCATTTTTAATCATTTTCAAGAGAAGGGCTGGCCTGACATGTAGCCCACTATGCTGTTAGAAATGGTTGCCACTCCATCAATTTCCTTTTAAAATCACATCGCATTTTCATTATGATTTGGATCAAGCCTTTAATTCATTCTTATGTTCTTGAGAATCAGATGCTGTTTATTATATCTTGAATATTGTCACTTCCCCTTTCCAACCAGACATTGAAGGGGGATTTCAATTTTTGTGGTGATCTTGTTATTGATTTGGTTGATATTCTCAAAGAGTTGAGTGGTCCTTTCTCGGAGAATCTAACATGTACATGCTTACACAGCATCATCACCATCACCACCCTGGCATCTTTTACCCCAGTGTTATTTTTGGTTGTTTTTCAGTAAAAGAAATACAGGAGGCCAGGCACGGTGGTTCACATCTGTAATTTCAGCACTTTGAGGGGCCGGGGTGGGCAGATCACTTGAGTCCAGGAATTCGAGACCAGTCTGTGTAACAAAGTGAGACACCCTTCTCATCTTGTCTACAAAAAATACAAAAATTAGCTGGGCAGGTGGTACACACCTGTAGTCCCAGCTACTTGGGAGGCTGAGGTGGGAGGATTGGTTGTGATCAGGAGGTTGAGGCTGCAGTGAGCCACGGAAAGACATATGGAGAAACAACCCAGAAATGACCCCAAAGTGTTCTCCTGTGACCCCTAGTACTTCAATTTTTAGAAAATTATGAGAATGTATACGGTAGTCCACTGGCATCTTTGCATGATGAAATTAACCCTTTGTAAAACATATTCTACGATTTGGTGATGATATTGATGTTCCTATCAAAAGCCATATTCTATCTTAAATTGATTTAGATGTCTTTAGTGGAATCTCTTATTTCAGATAAATGTTTTGCTTCCCTTCTCCCCCAAACATCTTGTTCATCTTTCTGCCAGTTGAACACTATGAAAGCTAAGAGAGATCCATATGTTCCTTTATTTATCTGTTTATTGTTTTGAGACAGGTTCTTACTCCATCACCCAGGGTAGAGTGCAGTGGCGTGATCATAGCTCAGTGGGACTTCGAACCCCTGGGCTCAAGCAATCCTCCCATCTTATTCTCCTGAGTAGCTGGGATTACAGGTGCACAACACCATGCCCAGCTAATTAACTATTTTTTATACTTTTTGTAGAAATGGGGTCTTGCTATATTGCCCAGGCTGGTCTCAGAGTTCTGTCCCCAAGCGATCTCTACCCGTGTCAGCCTCCCAAAGTGCTGTGGTTACGGGCATGAGCCACCATGCCTGGCCTAATGCATACATTCTTGATAGAAGCCTATCCCTTCTAGCTCATACTTACCTCTTATCGGTATCCTTCTTGACCAAAGTTGAGGTCTTATTTTGAGCAGAGCCATCCTGAAAATGTATTTCATTGCTTTAGCACCTCAAAAAAATAAAGAGCATATGTGGTCTAGATATTATGTGGTCTCTGCTAACTTCCAGATGGAAAGAAATTTGTTTTATAGATCCCGAGGAATGTCAGGGAAAGATCTCTCTTCCCTACTGGAATCTTTATGAAACCATTTCTTTTTAGCCTGTTCTGCTTTGTGTTTCCTGTTCCAGCCTCTATCAGGCCATTTTAGTAATAATTATGATCATACCCTTGATTCTACCCTGTTCTTGCTCGTAATTTTAGAATCATGCTCAGACATCCAAGAGAGTATCATTTTGAGCTTCTTCCTTTCTCTCATGACCCTGTTCCCACCTTTTGGTCTTCTCTCTCAACTTCCATTCTATTTTTTTTCATCAGTCAGTTCTAGTTTAAAGACCTCTTTGAAATCTGCTCTTTCCTTTCTTTCTCCTGTGGACTCCCTCCCCGCTGACTGGCTCTTTTTAGGGATGATGTCCCCATGAGCTGTGACAGTCCTTTCACAATAGACATTGTGGGAAAGGCAGATTTTAGCCCTATCTATGACCCCAGCTCTTTCAGCTTTATTCCCAGGATCCTGTTGTCCTTCTTGATGTCGTTGGCTTTCTTTGGAAAAGCAGAATGGAGCCTCTGTGGTGAGAAATGTAGGGCTGTGGTCAAAGGCTCGGGCATGTTATGATGTTGTCTTCTTTTTTCCTTCCTTTTTGCTTGTTGTTTTGGCAACTCGTAGAGCTGTGTGTGCCCCAAAGAACATTAGATCAGGTTGGCAATTGGTGATACCATTACTGTTTTATGTTTCCTCTTGGGAACAGTAGGTGCTTACAGTGGCATTCTGAGCCCTAAGAACACATGATCTCTCTTCCCCTGGGAAAGGTTTCTTTTCCCAGTGTCTTTTCTTTTCTCCCCCTAGTTGGATCAGAGGAAAGAACCAGGGAAAGAGGCATTTTTTTTCTTTCTTTTATGTTGTCTTTTTAATCTGTTGACCGTCCACTTACGTTATTGGTGGCCACAGTCCTCTTGTCCCTGGTTGTTTCTGAGCATCATCCTTGGTCACATAGACTTCCTCTGTCTTCGGCTTCTCTCCCGCATGCACACAGCCCAGGAGTATCTAGAATTAATTTGTATAAATTAGGAGTGAGGAATATTCTGAAAACTACGGGTGTACTGGCGAAGAAAAAGTTGTCCCCAGGTAATATCTGCAGATTATAAGAAATTTATTCTCTAGGTCTGGATCTAGAGCAACCTTGTTTCCCCCTCCCTTCTCATTCTGGAGTCTGCCTCATTTTGAATATATCTCTCTGGTCTTTGGGCTGCTGATTTTAAAATAAATTCTTAGTTCAAGTCAATGTGTTACTTGCCATTGGATGGTAATATTTGACTTTTTAATCTTATCCTGGTTGATAAGCGAACTCCCAGTTTTTGCCTTCTCTTTGCCCCAGAATTTGGAGACCTCGGGCCTCTCTCCTGCTTTTCTCCTCTTTCCTAGGTTTTCTCAAGTGTCCCCGTTTAGTCTTCCCTGCTCAGCTTGGCTCCTGAGAACATTTGCTTCTTCTTTTGTTTTTGTAGGTGTTGGACAATCAGATAAAGAAAGACCTGGCCGACAAGGAGACGCTGGAGAACATGATGCAGAGACACGAGGAGGAGGCCCATGAGAAGGGCAAAATTCTCAGCGAACAGAAGGCGGTAGGTAGAAGGAGTTGCCAAGCCAGTGTTCAAAGAAGGGTTTTTGAAATATGCCAAGAATCACACCCCTGATAAGACTCTATTTCACCTGGTGAAATTCCTTCTGTTGAATCCTGTGGAGTTGTTGGTAATAGGATGCTTTCTTTGAAACTGTTTGCTTTCCTAAAAGCAACCAAGGTGGTGGCTGTGGATGGCCCGTTTTGTGTTTTTCAAGAACTCATGCGATTCTAGTATCTGCTAAAATACTGTCCTTCTAAATGCCCCTGAGAAAATGGCCAGTGGCTCTTGGTCTTCCTGCTTTTTTTTTTTTTTTTTTTTTTTTTGAGGTGGGGTTTTGCTCCGAAGCCCAGGCTGCAATGTGGTGGTGCAGTCATGGCTCACTGCAGCCTCCAACTCCTGGGCTCAAGTGATCCTTCTACCTCAGCTTCCCAAGTAGCTGGGACTACAGGTGCGTGCCCCCATGCTCAGCAAATTTTTAAGTTTTCTGTAGAGACAAGATCTTGCTGTGTTGCCCAGGCTGGTCTCAAACTTCTGGCCTCAAGCAATCCTCCTATCTTGGTCTCCCAAAGTGCTGGGATTATAGGCCACCACTCCTTGCCCTACACTTCTGTTCTTTTTACTTGCCTGTTTATCTCTTTTCTAATCCACATAGGCAGTTGTTTCAGAAACTTGTTGCCCCTAAGGTTTACCTGTGGTGCTTATCTATCTGCACCCCACCAAGACTTACCATATCAGAATCTTTTTTTTTTTTTTTTTTTTGAGATGGAGTCACCCAGGCTAGAGTTCAGTGGCATGATTTCAGCTCACTGCAACCTCTGCCTCCCAGGTTCAAGTGATTCTCCTGCCTCAGCCTCCCGAGTAGCCTGGGATGACAGGCGTGTGCCACCGCACCCGGCTCATTTTTGTATTTCTAGTAGAGACAGGGTTTCACTATGTTGACCAGGCCAGTCTTGAACTCCTGACCTCAAGTGATCTGCCCACCTCAGCCTCCCAAAGTGCTGGGATTACAGGTGTGAGCCACTGCGCCCAACCCCACATCAGGATCTCTGAGGGAAGATCCTAGGATATTAAATTTTTAGTCAGTACCCCCACACCCCAATTCTTATGATTCATTAAGTTGGGGAAACTTTGCTGCAGAGCAGCTGTCCCCCACCTTTTTAGCACCAGGGACCAGTTTTGTGGAAGACAGTTTTTCCACAGGGGTGGGGGGATGGTTTTGAGATAAAACTGTACCACCTCAGACTATCAGGCATTAAGGCATTAAATTCTTTTTTTGTTTTGTTTGTTTGTTTGTTTGTTTTTGAGATGGAGTCTTGCTCTGTCGCACAGGCTGGAGTGCAGTGGCGTGATATCTGCTCACTGCAACCTCCACCTCCTGAGTTCAAGCGACTCTCCTGCCTCAGCCTCCTGAGTAGCTGGAATTACAGGCATGCGCCACTGCACCCGGCTAATTTTTGTATTTTTGGTAAAGACAGCGTTTCTCCATGTTGGCCAAGCTGGTCTCGAATTCCTGACCTCAGGTGACCCGCCTGCCTCGGCCTCCCAAAGTGCTGGAATTACAGGCTAAGCCACTGTGCCCGGCCCGAGGCATTCAATTCTCGTTAGGAGTGCGTAACCTCGATCCCTCGCTTGTGCAGGTCATGATGGGGCTCACACTCCGAGGAGAATCTAATGCCACTGATCCCATAGGAGGTAGGGCTCAGGCAGTAATGCTCACTCACTGGCTGCTCACCTCATGCTGTGCAGACTGGTTCATAACAGGTGGCAGACCGATAAAGGGGTACTGGTCTGTGGCCCCCGGGGTTGGAGACCCCTGCTGTGGAGTCTAGAGCAATAGTGGCTGGGTGACAAGGAATCACTCAGAAAATGACAGTCGTCGGGGTGATGATAAATACGAATGTGCAGATTTGAGTTAGAGACTCTTGCAGGCCCAGGTCACATGCAGATGAGATGGGGTTTAACAAGGCTTGATTACTCACAGGATGTTAGGTTCCTGAATAGGTCCTTATGTCTGTTTTAAATGCAAGCCACTTAACCAGTGTGGGGAGATTTCATCACTGAAAAAACAACCAAGTATCATCCATTTGAGTGGTACCATCTGTGATCCTCAGAGTACAGACGAGTTGAGAGCCTTGTTAGCTCTGGCCAAATTGCCGTCATTTCAGGTGAAACTTTTACCCTGGCCTGCACTGCCCCTATTACTCCTGTTCTGATATAACTGTGTGTGAGGTTTCATAGGTGCCCTGTGTTTCAGATGATCAATGCTATGGATTCCAAGATCAGATCCCTGGAACAGAGGATTGTGGAACTGTCTGAAGCCAATAAACTTGCAGCAAATAGCAGTCTTTTTACCCAAAGGAACATGTAAGTATTCAAATTCTAACTGCCTACGTTATTATACTTTGGTCTTCTCTCCTGTGGCTTAAACTGCCTTCTTCTGTCTGATGGAGCTGGAGTGGATTGAATGACTTCTGTAGCTCAGCCCAGCCCTCGGATACGTCATTTTGCCCCGTCTTAAGTGGTCTCACTCTGCCACTTTTGAGTCGGGTTTTCTTAAATGCCTTCAGTTGCCATCACATTATAGAGTGTTTTGCTCTCTCTAATGAGGTTATTTATAATTTGCTTGTGGAAAGCTGAGTTCTTGTTCCCCAGACTTGCGTCCTGTAATTAGTAAGAGGTGAAATTGTGTGTGTCCAGTTGGGCCATCCATTTAGTTGTCACTAGGTTAGACCCTTGGGAAGGAAGTTTGGGGTTCAGCAAGGACTGTGTTCCAGGAGCACTTTGATCTGAATCTTTTTCCCCGAAGAATTACAATCTCCAGGACTTTTTGCCCCCCTTGGGTTTCTCTCTTCAGAGATCTCTCAAAATAGTCCCATCTTAATCTAAACCAGCTTAGTAGGCTGTGTTTTGGGTCTTTGAGTCGTTCTAGTTTTTGATACTTCTAAGCAGTTTGCTGGAGAGGTGAGGAAGATCTACAGAGAACTAGAAGGAATACCACTCTTTCTCCTTGTTGCTCCTTTTTCTCCAGGGCCTGCCTTCATGAGTTACTGCGGTGCCCTTGTACAGTAATCTATGCAGGCCCCTTTCTGTCCCTACATAGACCCAAAGAAGAAATAAACAGGCCTGTCAAAGGAGTGAAATGTTAGTATCTCTTGCATCCCCCTGGACATTACTTAATCCCATATGTGAGGGACTGACACTGAGTGGTGATGAGTAAATGGTCCCCACGTTCATCATGCCAGGATCGTGCTTATGAGGACAGATCAGGAGACAGCTAATCCAGGAAGGCCCTAGTCCACTTAGTGAGGACACATGTCTCACTCCGTGTCCATCTACCTTCCGCGGAAACAGGCTCAACTCTAACGAGACTGTGATTTTGTTTGGATCCTCCCACCACCCCTACTAGGAAGGCTCAAGAAGAGATGATTTCTGAACTCAGGCAACAGAAATTTTACCTGGAGACCCAGGCTGGGAAATTGGAGGCCCAGAACCGAAAGCTGGAGGAGCAGCTGGAGAAGATCAGCCACCAAGACCACAGTGACAAGAATCGGCTGCTGGAACTGGAGACAAGACTGCGGGAGGTGAGAGCGGGGGTGATCTCCTGGGAGGATTTGCTGGGCAATTCGGGCTCTGAACAAGCCAGCTTTCAAGCACAAATCAATATGTATACAAGAGACATTGTGCTTGGTGGTTAAGGGGGCAGACTTGAGGCAGGAAAAGGGTCTGGAGGCAAGGAACCTAAGGCCAATTCATGCTGAATCAAGGAAAAACACCAAGCTTTAGGGGCAGGGAATCTGAGGCCCTTGTGCTAACCTCTTTTTTTTTTTTTTTTTTTGTGTGAGAGAGAGAGTCGTGCTCTGTTGTCCAGGCTGGAGTGCAGTGGTGCAATCTTGGTTCACTTCAGCCTCCGCCTCCCGGGTTCAAGCAATTCTCGTGCCTCAGCTTCTCAAGTAGCTGGGACTACAGGCTCCTGGCACCACACTCAGCCAATTTTTGTAGAGACAGGGTTTTGCCATGTTGGCCAGGTTGGTCTTGAACTCCTGACCTCAAGTGATCCACCCACCTCAGCTTCCCAAAGTGTCGGGGTTACAGGTGTGAGCCACTGCACCTGGCCAATTTGTGCTAGCTTTCTAAAAGAGAAGACACCAGGGTCCGCGGGCAGGGAACCCAAGGCCCATTCCTGCTGACTTCCTAGAGCTGGATCAAAAGGAAAACACATGGGGCTAGGGACAAGCAACCTAAGGCCAATTAATGCAAACTTCCTAAAGCTGAACCAAAAGGAAAATCCGAGCCCCCACCCCATCTCCCCACGCCCCAGTAGCAAAAGATGGAAGAGGCTCCTCTCCCTGCAATGCTCTCCTTTCCACCATTGCTCAGATGGAAAGGGAGAGCACCTTGGATGGGCCAAGGAGGGAGTATCCCTTCGTCTGCATAGGGCGCCAGTTCACCTCAGCCTTTAATTAACCACAGACCAAATCCTTTATTCAGATAAGGAGTAACCAGTAGGAACCCCAAAAGGAGTACTTAAAACCCAGAAAACTTTGTAACTGGGTCCTGAGCCACTTGCTGGGGCCGCTCCCACCCTGCGGAGTGCTTTCTTGCTTTCATAGATACCTGTTTTCGCTGCTTCATGCCTGTGTTTTGTTCCTTTGTTGCTTTGTGTATTTTGTCCAATTCTTTGTTCAAAATAGACAAATTAGACCCCAGGCCCTCCTTCTGGTAACAGACTGGGCCATGGGGATCTGGGTTAGAATTCCACCTCAACTTCTTACTGGTTTTGTGACCTCTTACTAGTTCTGCAAGCTGCCTCATCTCTGCTGGGCTTCAGTTTCCTCATCTGTAAAATGTCAGTGATAATGTATCTCCTTTATAGGGTCCCGTGGGGAGTGTGCCAGTTTGTGCCTCTGTCAAATAGGAGCAGGGCAATTCCTCCTTTATCAAGACGTAATGACAGCCCCGTGACCTAGTCAGAGCTTAGCCGTGGTGGCCCAGTGCTGGTGGCAGAGGTCTGTCTCAAGTGACAGTGGGAGATTAAAAGACAAAACCAAATTCAGGTGTGATTGATGAAAGGTAGCTCTCTTCAAAAGAACCAGGAAGCTGGGAAGAGTGACCAGGTTCTGGGAAGGAAAATATAACAAACTGGGTTGTAGACATGTTGAGGTTGATGGAAGCCATAAGGTTACATTTATGTAGTCACTGTATATTTGTCAAATGCCTGCTGTGTGCCGATTTGTAGCCTGGGTCTACAGTGGTGACAAGACAGACCTGTTCCTGACATGAGGGCTTTCAGCCTAGCGGCAGGGTTTGCTGGCACCAGCAGAGACACAGCTGGAGTTCAGGAGAGTGGTTGTTGGAAGCTGGACACCCAGGCTGGGAGGGAAGACAGAGTGTCTCATGTAAAATAGTTGCTCAAATATTTGTGATGGAGTTCTTCAAAAAGCAGATGATCTTTCTTAAGGAAGGTCGTGTTAAGCAGACAGTGGTCTGAGGTCTAAGCCTTGGGTAATACTCATGTTTATGCATGTCTTTATTTGTCTTGGAGTATTAAAATGAAGTCATTTCTCCAAGGGACAGTAAAAATGTGTTATCTCATGTTTTTTAGGGGTTGTCAAGGTGTGGACTCCTCTATTAGGGTCAGCTGGAGTGTCTGGTTTTATTTTTCATTTTTTGTAGTGATGGGGTCTTGCTATGTTGCCCAGGCTGGTCTTGGGCTCCTGGCTTTATTTATTTATTTATTTATTTATTTATTTATTTATTTATTTTTCTTTTATTATTTCTTAGGTCAGGATATCTCAGAAGGAGGACACCTGACTTTAAGCAGTCCTCCCTCCTTGGCCTCCAAAGTGCTGGGATTACAGGCATGAGCCTGAAGCCTTAGGCGACAGTTCAACTTTTATTATCCAGGCTATACTTTTACTCTTCTGTAAGTTTAACAGCAAGATCACGGGAGAGTTGCCCTTAAGGTTGTGAGTCTAAACAATCCAGATGGACTTCTCTAGCTTGGGGGCCTTGACTGGCTGTCTCTTGCCTTCCCTTTGCACAAATGTTCCTCTTAGGAGCCTGCTGTGCTGCTGTAGCTCATCTGGGCTATTAAAGTGTCCCAGGGAAGCTGTTGTTTTTCACTTGAATCAGTAGAGCCAGCCCCTCAAGGATGGTAGGAGAAACTTCAAACGTTTCACGAGAGGTTCAGGCTCTATATTCTCCCTGGGAATTTTGGAGTTTAGCTCTAAATTTAACGAGATCAGTCCCTCTTCTTTTGGCCACATGCTGCTACTGAGATTGAGGGCAGAGGCCTCCACCTGGAGTTTGATCCACCTTAAAGGACCCTGGGCCTTCCCCCAACTTTGTGTGCGCAGCATTAGCTCTTCTCTAGCCAGGTGTGTAGAGTTGCAAAGATGCAGGCTCCCGGGTTCTTCCTTCATTGTATAGCATCCGGCTCCCGCTCTTCCTGTTGAGTCACTGTCACCTGCCTCTCTTGGTTTTGCCAAGTGGTGTCAGAAGAATTTTCAGGCTTGCTAGTAGAGGCCCACCCTGCTATGACTGCTGGTGTTTTAGTAAGACAGAAGGGTACAGTGTTTACCCTGTACATGGTCAAGTGCAATGGTCAGGACATGTAGGGATGTTGCAGGAATGTAGCAACATGTTACATGGACTCTTGAGCCAGACTTTCTGAGTTTGAATGTCAGTCTTGCCTTTTTTATAGCTTTTTACAGCTGTGTGACATATGCTCAGTTACCTAATCTCTCAGTTCCACAGTTTGCTTATCTGTAAAATGGAGGTAATGTAGTACCTCCTTCAGTGAGTTGTTCTGAAACTGAAATGAGTTAATTCAGGGCCCAGTGTGTTGTGAGGACCGTATTTGCTGCTGTCACGTCATCATCATCACCATCATCACTAGAGAGAGATAATAGCCGTGGCTTCAGCTGTCACTGATTTGTTAAGGCTTCCCGGATCTAGGTTGCCAATCCAGACCTTTCTTTTGAGTTTCTGACCTGTTGTCTTAGTAGACATTAGACATCTCCATTTGGATGTCTCCCACGGGGCTCAATTTCAACATGTCAAGACAGAATTTCTTATCTTTTGCCTCAAACTGGCTCTTTCTCTCCTATTCCATCATAGCAATGGTCTCATTCTTTGTGTAATTCGCCTGTCCAGAAATGTGGGAGTCATCTTTTTTTTCTTTTTTTTTTGAGATAGAGTCTTGCTCTGTCACCCAGGCTAGAGTACAATGGTGCAGTCTCAGCTCACTGCAACCTCTGCCTGCCAGGTTCAAGTGATTCTCCTGCCTCAGCCTCCCAAGTAGCTGGGACTACAGACGTGCGCCACCATGTCCAGCTAATTTTTTGTTATTTTTAGTAGAGACGGGGTTTCACCCTGCTGGCCAGACTGGTCTCGAACTCCTGACCTCGTGATCTGCCCGCCTCGGCCTCCCAAAGTGCTGGGATTACAGGTGTGAGCCATTGCACCCGGCCGGGAGTCATCTTTGACTCCCTTATATCCTTTGTTCTCTACCCCACATCAAATTAACCACTAAATCCTGTTGGTTTTCCAGGTTACATGTTTTGCAAGTGTTTCTTCTCTTCACCCCATGGGCTGTGGGATGTGGGTGCCACCTTTTCTAGGGAGCCTTCTCCAACCCTCTGAAGCTGATGAAAAGGAGGTCTCCTTTTTATTCCCATGGCTTTCAGGGCACAGCTCATCACAGTGTGTTCTTCTTGGCAGTCCCGTTAGACAGTGAGCTCTCTGAGGGCAGCCAGCATCTCTGAGTTGCTTGACATTCATCTTTAGGACCACACTGTCCGTGTTTGTCAGGTCTATAGATGTGCCGTGATCTCCCTCACCCCCATACCTTTGGATGTCTTGCTTCCCCTGCCTGGAATTTTCTTTCTCCTCTTACCTGCTTGTTTGACTTCTGCATATTCTTCAACAGAATTTAACAGATCCAGAGTTAGCTCCTCTGCCCGCGTGCTGTATTCCTGCAACATCCCTGCATGTCCTGACCGTTGCACTTGACCATGATATATGGTCATGGTTGCTTTTCATGTTTCTCCCCACTTGAAGGCAGAGACTGTTTTCATCTCCATATTCCATTTTCCACAGAAATTGCTGAGTAAATTTTTGTTAGATGAATGGATGAAAGATTGAATAGATAGGTGGATGGATGAGCAGATGGAGGGAAGAATGATTAACTTCTAATGTGACATTAAAGCAGATTACCTAATGAGGACACATCAGAGAAAGCGTGTTTAAAATAACTAGAATTCAGTCTGTTATTCCATTTACAATAAAACTGAAAAGATGTCCTTGTTACTAATATGATGTTTTTTATATCTGCTTAGCTTTAAATGTTTTTCTAATAAGAGTAATCGTCATCATTTTCATTCGTGATTCTTGCTGTGTGGCTTTTCCTTTTAAAGTCTTCCCAGGCATTTGAATATATGTAAGTAAGGGGTGGTTAGGAGATATAGCCCTTACCTGTTCTTACTCCTGTTGAATTCGGAGATGCATGGGAGTCAGGCCCATTTTGTTGCATTTTCCTCTCCTCTATGGAGTGCTGAGAAGGTGGTTCCAAGACCAGGTTTCAGCTCCAGGTTGAGTAGCAGGTCATGTCTTCACTTTCTCTTTTGTTCAGGCCAACCAAGGGTTTATCTCTCTCTCTCTCTCAGGTCAGTCTAGAGCACGAGGAGCAGAAACTGGAGCTCAAGCGCCAGCTCACAGAGCTACAGCTCTCCCTGCAGGAGCGTGAGTCACAGTTGACAGCCCTGCAGGCTGCCCGGGCGGCTCTGGAAAGCCAGCTTCGCCAGGCAAAGACAGAGCTGGAAGAGACCACGGCAGAAGCCGAAGAGGAGATCCAGGCGCTCACGGTAGGTCTAGGGAGCAACATCTTCAGGTTACTAAAGGCCTCAACTAGAATGAGTGTGGCACTGAGGATATTGGCTCACCCTTAGAAATTCCAGGAGAGAAAACATGATCCACAAAGATATTCAATGGCCAGGAAATTGGCTTACGTAGGCTGCTTCTTCATTGGAAGTAATAGTTAGTATCTTGAAAAGTTCCTCCTTTAGTTATGTAATTTCCTTCTTTTAGAAAAAAAAATCATCATTGTATTTTAAAGTTTGTTTTCAGCCAAAGTCTGTTTACCTTGGTCTTCTACTTTAGTTTTCAATAATCATTTAAAATAATAATAATAATCTTATATCTTACAGTAGTCTTTCTACCATATTTTTATTTTTTGTTTTGGTTTACCTCACCTGTGTTACTTCTTTTTTTTTTTTTTCAAGCTGTAGGTTCTGCTTCCTGTCTTTTGTATGCATCTGGTATGATCTGGATGGGAAAAATTCTACTGAATGATTCTTTCTCTAAAGGGGACCTGGCTTCCTTGCTCTTTCTGAGAGACTAGTTTACTCAGCTGGAGAGTATTCTCAGGAGGTAGAACTTGGAGCGGGGGTGTTACTGGATTTAAATCTTAGTTCTTTTTAGAAGTCTGAAATGGAATTTTTGTGGGGCCATTTTCCCCACATTTGATCATTCCCACAGAGACTGACCCAGAATAACAAAACTCACAAAAATCTGGCATGTGAAATGCCAACTTATCAACTTTAAGGGGGAAGTGCAGCTGCCAAGTTGACTAGGGTACTCTGGGTGGCCAATGTTCACATTTTCTTTTTCCCATTCAGGGAAGTATATTTAGAAAACCCTGTTAGTCTTGGAAGGCTCTCTGGAGGACCTAGACTGTGAGCATAGAAGGCCAAATGAGTTTTAATGGCTGGTATCAACCAAGCTCATACATTTCTCATAGTATCATACTGTACCTGCCAGGCAGACAGGCACACACGTGCCTGCTGGTCAGGGTGCCCTCTCCTGTGGGCCAAGCACAATACAGCTGATTGGGTTTAGTGTTTTTTTAATAAGCCTTCTAAATAGGTACCTTATTCATTCTGACTCAACTTGGATGCTGTCCCCATTTCCATCAGTGAACATCTCTAAACCTCTCTGATTGGGGTTGCTTCTATAGAATGAATGGCTGTGTACATTCATTGCTTACAATTTACCTAGATGTCATGCACATGTACATCTCTGTCTATCTATCTATCTATCTATCTATCTATCTATCTATCTATCTATCTATCTATCTATCTAACATAGTTTCATTCTTAGAAGTTATTGCCTGTTGTTGCGTTTGGGGATCCCAGTATCTGAAACAAACTGGGAATGTGATCTGACAATGCCAGGGTCTGTATAGGACCAGTCCAAGTATAGTGGCTTCCAGTATGTTTGTGCATCCTAGATTTTCTAGGACTTACACCAAGTTCAGATATTGACTGCACATTTAGGTTCCAAAGTCTCTATGAGAACACTTGTTAAATGATGCCACATCATGCCCCCAATATTTGCTTTGGCAAAAAATAACCACAGTGTGTCTTTGTGTATACTGTCTTGTTTCACAGTGGACTGAAAACCATTTGAAAAGATGCAACACAGTAAAACAGAACAAAATCAGAAACAAAAGGCAAAAAAAAAAATAAGTCTGTAGAAGAAAAAATGGAGCTAGGAATGAAGTTGGTCTATAAGAGTTCATGCCAACAAGGCCTATAGACTTGCTGGAGTTGGGTGGGTGGAGAGAGAGAGAGACAGATAACATTTCTTAGCTTTTAAAGGGAGGCACGTAAATTTCAACCACTATTATGTTTAACGCATTGTATATTAATATTTTTCTCCTGTATGAATACCCAACCTCTGAAAGAAAAAGAGCCATCAGTAATTTAATCCATATTTATTAAGCCCTTGCTATGGGCCCAATGCTGTGTCTTTAGCCTTTTCTCCCCGGGGGATTGGTCTGTAATTCCTCAAATCCGTTTATTTCTGAGCAGCTGAGAAGGACACATTTATCTTGCTGCTCCGTTGGAATTGGGAAGGAGGGGTGACTGTGTATCTTATCCTGGCCCTGTTTGGAAGGAAGAGGGCATAAAATAGAGCACGTGTCACTGCTCTTTATCTATGGGGAAATTAGTCCTTTAAATCCTTTCTTGCTGCTGGTTGGAATGTGCTGTGTCTGATGGCTGCTGGAAGCTGAGCACAGCAGCAAGTCACGACTTAATTTAGTTAGATGAGATCACTGCCTCAAAGCATCTTCTTAAAAAAAAAAAAAAGAAACAAACCTCCCTTGGTTTAGAAACTAGGGCTCTATTGCTCTTGCAGATGAAGATGCTGTGGAAAAAACAGGGCTTCTTCAAATGATGGCAGAAGTGCCTTCCTCCAACAGCTGTTTGCAAACCCATCATACGGAAATCCAAACGCCATTTCCATTTGCTTCCGTTCAGTTTCAAGGCTGTGGGCTTTTCCTTCCGCCTTCCCTTGATTATGTTCCATAAACCTGGTTATTGACACCATGTGTTTGTTGCCTGAATGGGTTAGTTGAATTTGTTCTGAAAAACGTCTTTTCCAAGAAAAAGAGAAAATGGTCCCCAAATACCATACTTTTCAGCTTTCTCATTGTTTGAGACCCAAGTTGAGACCATGCACAAGCATCAGTCAGATGAAATCCGCTGGATCTCAGATGATCTCCTAGGAGATTTGTGAGTTTCACAGCAGACCGTTTTATCAATAAAAGGGAATAGTCAAATGTGCTATTATTGTTTAATTTTAAGAGGCAGCCATCTCCTAGGCTGTGAAAGGGAGCAGTTACCTTGTTTGGCCTCCATCCCTGGGCCGAATTAGATGGAGCACAGTTAAATTAAAGCTCTCCATTGAAGGGCCTTGGCGGTGCAGCTGGGAGGCCTTTGTTGCCCTTTCTAATGCTTGCCTTTTCTCCACTTTCACTTTACCCATCCTATCAAATTTAAACACAAACATGCTTTTAAGATACTTCAGTACTTATTGCTGGAAAAGAGACATTTCCACCTGAACTTGATATTTAAGACTCCATCTCAAGGGAGAGAATTTGAGTCTACACACCTTATCGCACATAATGTGTGATGTGGTAGAAGCATCACTCTGAAGAGGACCACTAGGCAAGAGGCATGCTGTGTGCTCTGTATACACCAGCCAGGCCTCACGAACACGTTTTGTGTTTTCGCTTCTCTGTTTTTTTACTGATTCTGTCAAGTGACTAATGTTGAATAATCAAGAGTTGAAAGCTCGAGACACTGATGAAAGGAATCCTTCTCCCTGCATAGCATGATGATGGGATCCAAAAGTCATCCTCTTTGATTTGTTAAAATCATGAGTCAGTGCACGTTCTCATTCTCGTACATAAATATCAAGCCCTCTGTTTAATTAATTAGTAAGCCGACGGCATGATAGCCAAGATGGGAAATCGGGGCATGTAAGGTGACATTCTTGCCTGGTGCCTGTCTTCACCTAGAAAGGGGGTAGGTGCACAGAAGCCGAAGCGTTCTAGAATCCTGACCATGGATCCCAGAAGGTGGTCAGACGTCTACACGCTTGTTTCCTTTCTTCAGTTCTGCAGATATTTCCTCCCTCAAGGCTACATTGTAATTTACTCTTCTTTCTTCTTCTTGTAACTTTCCTTAAAATTAAGGCATAAATACTTCCAAAAGAAAGTATCTCTCTGGTCTTAGGGCCAGACTGGCTGCAGCCTGTCAGTCCACATTTTTGCCACCCAACTCCTAGGTTAGTGGTTCCTAAAGTGGGTCTGTGGACTCCTGGGTTTCCCAAGATCAGATGGTTTTTTTCTTTTTTTTTTTTTGAGACAGGGTCTTACTCTGTCACCCAGGCTGGAGTGCAGTGGTGCAATGTCAGCGCACTGCAGCCTTGACTCCCAGGCTCAAGAGTGATACTCCCACCTCAGCCTCCCAAGTAGCTAGGAGTATAGGTGCACGCCACATGCCCGGTTAACTTTTGTATATTTTTGTGAAGAAGTGGTTTCACCGTGTTTCCAAAGCTGGTCTTGAACTCCTAGGCTCAAGCAATTTGCCTGCCTTGGTCTCTTAAATAAGTGCTGGGATTTACAGACATGAGCCATTAAGCCTGGCTGTCAGACTGTTTTCTTAACAATACTAAGATGTCATTTGACACTTTTCACTGTGTTAATATTTGCACTGATGGTGCAAAAGCAATGTTAGTGTTATTTTAAGAGAAATAAAAAATAAATATTTGAAAAATATCTTAGTCTTAATTTTTTTTTTTTCTGAGATGAAGTCTCCCTCTGCCTCCCAAACTGGAGTGCAATGGCGTGATCTCGGCTCACTGAAACCTCCACCTCCTGGGTTCAAGCAATTTTTCTGCCTCAGCCTCCTGAGTAGCTGGGATTGCAGGCGTGCGCCACCATTCCAAGCTAATTTTTTAATTTTTAGTAGAGATGGGGTTTCACCATGTTGGTCAGGCTAGTCTCGAACTCCTGATCTCGTGATCCACCTGCTTCAGCCTCCCAAAGTGCTGGGATTATAGGTGTGAGCCACTGTGCCTGGCCATCTCAGTCTTAATTTCTAATGTTGCAAGTGTAGGTGAATACTACGTAAACAAGAGCTCTTTGGGATCCTCAGAAATTTTTAAGAGTGTAGGTATTTATTCCCTGTAGCACCTGATATCTAATTAACACTCATACATTTCATTGAGAGCATCCAAAGCTTGTCTTATATGTTTTGCTGTCTTTATGTATATATTCTATTGCATGATCTTTTGCTTTTTTGTGTATTTGTTTTACAACTTATTTCAAAAAAACATAAAGCATATGACTTACCATTTTATTACTGTGACTAGTTCGGTAGTTAAGTGCTTACTGTATGTCTGGCATCCACAACAGGGTCAGTTCTACATTTTGTATTTATATTTCATAAACAGTAATGAATCAAAAGCCATAATGACTGTAGTTCATTATATTAACCCTTGGAGAGGATTGCTTGACATGATCCAAAGGCCCCATAATGGTTAATTTTAATGGAAGTGGATCAGTATTAATGACTGAAATTTCAGACTCCAGTGGGGGAGTTAAATGAGTTTTTAATGGTGCTGTGTCATTTGAAATTTTGCTATTATTAAGAAAGTGCAATAGGGCTTCTGTCCCTGTGTATAAGCCAGTGAGCTTTTTTATGGTCACCACTTATGCTTTGAAGGAGCTAACTCCACTCTCAGCTTCCTGTTTCTGTCTTTGAGAGATTTCACACCAAATGGTCATTTAGAGCAGAGACTGGCAAATCACAGGCCAAATTTTAGTCTGTCACCCGTTTTCTGTAAATGAAGTTTTATTAGAACACATTAGAAACAAACATGCCCGTTTGTTTACCTATTGTTTGTGGCTGCTTTTGCTCTAGAAAGATAGAGTTAAGTAATTCTAACCAAGACTGAATGCTCTGGAAATTTTAAGGAAATTTCCTTATCTGGCATTTTAAGGAAAAAACGTGCTGATTCCTGACCAAGAGTCTATTAACATAAGGGCCTTATTCTTCCTCTAGGACAAATCCTTGCCTTTGGTTTTTGATGATCATGGAATGCACTAAAGGGGGTTGTGTGGTCCTTGGATCTAGGCTGCTGCTTGGTCACAGATGAGATTTTGACATAGTGCAGATAGCCGTAGTCTTACTTTGGATAAGTAGTATTCTTATCTTAACAAAATAATAAATCTCTCATTATTGCTGGGCAAAAAGCAGATAGAGTTTTAGAAAAACAATTAAGATCTGTTAAATTAGGCCATAGAATATAGGCTAGTTATTTAGGAAGTCAATTCTAAATAATAACTTTTTATTTATAAATCTGTCTGTGATTCTATCTATGCAACTATCTATTTTTTGGTATTTTTTATATTTTTTAATTGATATATCACAGTTGTACATATTTTTGAGATACATATGATATTTTGATACATGCCTACAATGTGTAGTGATCAAATCAGGGTAATTGGGATATCCCTCACCTCAAACATTTATCTTTTCTTTGTATTGAGAACATTATAATTCTCTTCTGGCTATTCTGAGCAACTAATCTATTTTTGGTTTGTTTTATTTTACCGTCTCTCCAGGGCTCTTCATTCGTTTGTGTAGATCCAAATTTCTGGTTGCCATTTTCCATCTGCCAGAAGGACTTCCTTTAACATTTCTTATAGCACAGGTCTGCTGGTGTCAAATTCCTTCAACTTTTGTATGTTTGAAAAAGTTTTTATATTACCTTCATTTTTTAAGAGATATTTTTGCTAGGTATAGAATTCTGTGTGGACAGGTTTTTTTTTATTTCAGCACTTCGAAGATATTGCTTTACTGTGTTCTAGCTGTTCATGCCCACTTCTTCTCCCCATCTTGGTGAGAAATCTTTCTCATTTTTGTTTCTCTTAATGTGACATGTATTTTTCTCCGGCTGTGTTTTTTTTTTTTTTTTTAATGTTTTCTTTTTGTTTTTGGATTTAAACAGTTTCATTATAGTGTGCTTTAGGTTAATTTTCTTCACATTTCTCATGCTTGGGACTTGTTGAATATTTTGCATCTGTGGGTTTATGGCTTTTGTTAACTTTGGAAAATTTGTGGCCATTATTTCTTCAAATATTTTTTCTGTCTCCTGTACTCTTTCTGGGACTCTAATTACATGTACGTTAGGCTACTTGAAGTTGTCTTCCAACTCCCTGATGCTCTGCATTTTTTGAAAATGCCTTTTTCTTTTCTCATTGTGTTTCATTTTGGTTTCTACTTCTTGTCTTCTACTTCTTTGTTTCTATTTGTCTTCAAGTTCACTAATCTTTTCTTCTAAAGTATCTAATCTGCCGTCATAAACTTACAATAGTATTTATAGAAAAATAGACATATTAGAGAAAACATCACAACTCTAAAATATTTGACTTAGTTATCTTACAGGCTTTTTTTTTTTTTTGAGACGGAGTTTCTCCCTCTCACCCAGGCTGGAGTGCAGTTGCGTGATCTCGGCTTACTGTAAGCTCTGCCTTCTGGGTTCACACCATTCTCCTGCCTCAGCCTCCTCAGTAGCTGGGACTACAGGCGCCCGCCACCATGCCCGGCTAATTTTTTGTATTTTTTAGTGGGGACCATCCTTTTAGCCAGGATGGTCTTGATCTCCTCACCTCGTGATCTGCCCACTTCAGCTTCCCAAAGTGCTGGGATTACAGGCGTGAGCCACTGTGCCCGGCCTTTTATAGACCTTCTTATGGAGACTTTTTTTTTTTTTTTAATTAAATAGAAGAAGCACTCTTACATCTGCCCTAAACTGGGTTCTGGGTTCTTATTTGGGTTTTCATATGTAAGCAAATGGGACCATATCCACTTTGTCTAACAAGTGAAAAGTCTATTAGGGCATTGTTGACTCCTCTTTCCTCTGGGCCACACATCTATCAGTAAGTCCTTTTCCTTATGTTTTCAAAGGAGGTCTCAGTTTCATCCACGTTCTCTGTTTTTGTTTTTGTTTTTTTGCCGCCATCCTTCTCCAAGCCACCATTATCTCTCACTTGAATGGCAGTAACAATACCTTCAGTGGTTTCCCTGCTATGTTCTACCTTTGTTCCATTTTGATCCTCTTCTCCCTATAGCATCTACAGTGATCTTAAAACAACAGTAAAATCCGTCACTTTCTTTCTTAAAATTTTCCATTGGTTTTCAATTAATTGAATTTTGAATGAAACCTAAATTCTTTACTGGACCTTCAAGATTCTTGGTCTCTGCCTTGGTCCTTATCATCATCTTGGGCTACTTTTTTTTCTTCATTGCTGTGCTTTTTCAAAAGTTGACCACAGCCCACAGAATACATTTTATTTGCAATCCAATAGAAGGGAGTATATTTACTGTATTTCACTGATTCTAAGGTATCTGAAATCATGGTGCATATTACAGTCATATACAGACATAAACATGTCATAGTTTGATAGCACTTTTTCTTCCTTAATGTTACATAAAATAGTCATAGGTTTTACAATGGAAAGTACCTTAAATTTGATGAGTTATAGTATCTAAAGCAGAAGTTTCCTATAACAGAGGTCATGTTTACTACTCAAGGCACATTCTGATGTTTTCAATTCTATCTTTTTTATTCTACTTCATTGGATACAACGAACCAAAAATCCCGACTTGTCATGCTTGCTGTTGGATTACAGCTTGCAATTTGAAAAACTCTGCTGTAGCCACTCAGTTTTTTTGGTGGTGGTTGTTCATCAAATGCACCAGACCCTTTCCTGCCTCAGGGTCTTTGCAAATGCTGCTCCTTCTGCCGTCTCCTGTCCATTGCATGGCTGGCTCCTCATCATCCTATAGGTTTCAGCTTGCATGCCACCTCCTCAGAGAAGCCCTCCTTGACCACCCTATCTAAGTAAGTTTCTACCTACCTTTCTTATTCTTTTTTTTTTTTTTTTTAAACTGGTCCCTATTTGTTTTCTTTGTAGCATTTGTCCCAATCTGTAATCACGCACTTATTCATTTCTGATCTTCCCTCACCAGAATGAAGGCACAGGTCATGGGTGCCTATATCCTTCCACAGTGTCAAGCATACAGTATGCGCTAAAAAATAATCCTTGTCAACTGAACAAATGCTGCTGGTTTAAGGCAGCTTTGTCCTGGAGAAAGCCTATATATATTTATTTCAAGGCCGACGTAGAGTTTTCTGAATGTCAGCAGCTTTTAATGAAAAAACAACACACACACAAAGTCCCTTTGTCCTGGCTGTTGTCCTGTGTGTGCGTTTCTGTGTGTATGTGTGTGTCAGGGAGTAGGCTGGGGAGGAGTTAGTTGGAGGGAAGAGGGAAAATTACTCATCTTTTCAGAATGGGAATAGGACAAATGAAGGAGAGTAAAACTTCATCCTTTATTGCTTTTTTTCCCCCTTTTCTCCTAATAGTCTCTAGATGTTAATATAAATGTTAAAAATATTTGTACAGGGTGTGCATGTGTGGTCTAAAGAGTTAATTGTTATTAACACAGCATTGTGTATTCCTGTAACTTATTTCTGGTGTTGGGGATGATTTGATTAATTCGTTCTTTGAAAAACAGATGCTAGTGCCGCATTCTCAGCTTTCCAGGCAAATTGCTATTCTCTATATTTGACCCGTAGCATGTAGAATTGTATTCTGCCCTATGAAAAATTTATAATCAACTTCTTACCTTTTAGGCACATAGAGATGAAATCCAGCGCAAATTTGATGCTCTTCGTAACAGCTGTACTGTGAGTATTAATTAACCAAAGATGATTAAAATAACATGAAACTAACAGAGAAGGAAAAGGGGACAGCTCTTTAAAATATCGGTGACGAGTTTTGATTCGAACTTGCAGCTTGAAGAAGATAATGCAATCAACCTTATTTGGAGTTTTTGAGCCCTGGATAACCTGTTTTTTTGGGGTTCTTCCAGTTTTGAAAAACTGAAACCATTCTTCCTGTTTGGGGGAAGAGGATAGTTGGAAGGGTCAAAATAATTCTCACTTGTGGAAGCACTAATAGGTTTCAGCAGCTGCAATGAAAATCCCAAGGCAGCTCCCCCTCCTACCCCAATGTAGACGGTTTCATGGCTAACCCAGCTCAGAGACTCTCCTGTCACCAAGGTAGTTGTATCTGTGAGACTTCTCCAGATTGCTACCCCTGCAGAGGAAGAACCAATGAGCTCTTCTCCTGGAGACCTAGAAATTGTAACTTCCTACCAGGCAGAATTTGGCTTTCTAACATGCAAATTCAAAATCTAGGACTCTTTGGGAGATGTTATTTATATTGAGAGAAATAAATGCTATGAGTGGATAAGCATCTTCCATAGGTTATATAATAGAGTAGGGTCGGTGGGAATTCAGTCTATTTTTGATCAGAGTGAAGGTCTGAAATAGGCCCCTTTCAGAAGATGGGGATGTTCTCCTTATTCATGTGCCCTCTCTTTTCTTTGGCCTTTTTGTCACTTTATTACCTTCTTAGTCCTCAGTGATCTTGTCCTTGTTTGTATTATTTGCATTTGTGAATTTCCAGAAACACCTTCCAGCCTCCACACACATACATATTTTATTTTCTTGTTATGAGCTCTTTATTTCCTCTTTAGCTACTATAAATGAGATATTAAGTCCTAACGGTATTTTTTTTCTTAATTTAGGTATAAAATATATCTAGTAAAGCACATAAAAATGTAGTAATTTTAAGTATACAGCTCAATAAAATTTTTATACAGATAGACAACTAGGTAACCCCAGTGTAGATCAAGGTACAGAACTTTCTCAGCCCCTGAAGGCTCCCTCTTGTTCCCTTCCCATCATCATCCTTCACCCAAAGGGTAACCACTATGCTGACCTCTGATACCATAGTTTAGTCTTGCCTGTTCTTGAATGTCATATAAATGGAATCACAGAGGATGTGCTCTTTGGGGCTTAGCTTTTTTTTTTTTTTTTTCGCTTAAATGGTTTGTGAGGTTCCTCCACGTTGCTGTACCTATCAATAGTTTGTTCTTTTTTTAATCACTGTATGGTGTTTCTGGTGTATGAATAGAACTATAGTTTGTTTATCCATTCTCCTTGTTGGTAGACATTTGGATTGTTTCCGTAATGGATCAATCTGTTAGGAAACCCTGTTGCACAAAGCCTTTGGTGGCTGTGAGCACTTACTTCTGGTGAGCATTTCCCAAGAATTACTAGGTCATGATATTTGCCTCTGTTTGACTTTAGTGGGGAACTGACAGACCAGTTTTTTGGTCTGCATTTCCTGATATGATGGTGGATTGGGACGGGCCTGCCTTAAAATGTCTGTGGATTTCCTCCATCCCTCCTCCCTTCCTTGAGTAGTTGGGGGGTGACATTCTGGTAGTTTTCTGCCCTAGGATTTTAGTTTCTTGTTGCCTTTCTTTCTTATTTTACACACGAGTTATTTGCTTATATTACATACGTGCGCGTGAATGATCACTGAATAAAATGTAGATCATTTTATGACTGTGGAATTTTTTATATTACCATTTTTTCCTTATATAAGCTTGGATTTTTAAAAATGTGTGCATTAGTAATCCTGTTCCATTCATCTGGAGTTCTTTTTTCCTTTTTTAGTCTTTTGGCATAAGAACTTTCTAAAAAACATTTTTTTACAGTTTTATTGAGGTATAATTGGTGTACTATAATCTGATGCGTTTTAAAACGTGTATATAACTGTGAAACAGCAAAACAATCAAAATAATGAATTTTATTATTATTTTGGATAAGATTATCCAAATTTCATTCTTGAGCGATAAAAACAAAATATTTATTGTATTCATCACCCTCAAAAGTTTCCTTATACCCCTTTGTAATTCATCTTGTCCCCCATTTTAAAAATTGAAAGTTCAGTTTTAGTGGAATACACTAGTATGTAGACTGCATTTGGTTACTTTCGCATGTAACTCTAATGCTCTCCAAATTTGCGTTTTCTGGAACAGTGACTTCTGATCTTTGCGTCATTTACCTCTGTGTTCTGTGGCGAAGCCTCTGGGGGCCTTCCCAAGTGTGTGTGTGTGAACCTGAGAGAGATGCCCTCCACCCACATTTCAGCCAGAGCAGCTGGGTAACTTAGTAGTCTAAGCCATGGGCTCTGGAATCAGACAGAGTTCAGATTATAAATTGGCCTCTTAGTAACCTATGCTTATTATCCTACGAAGCCCCTCTTTCTTTGTCTGTAAAATGGAGATGACATTGTATACCCTCAGTTCCAGTCAGTACCCTCATTGATTGTAGGATACGTAATTAATTTAATAACTGCTCTTTGGGGGCTGGGTGAGGGAAGAGAGAGAGCTTCTGGTTCCAGTATACCACGTATCCACATTTCAGACAGTACAACTTACGGAACACTGAGTCATGGGATTTGGTAGTAGTACCTCCCTCATAAGGTTGCTGCGAGAATTAAATGAGATACGTGCAAACTGCTTGCACAGGGCCTGATCCATAGAAAGTGCTAAACAACATTGGTTACTATTAATATTTTATTCTCCTGGGCTTAAAATATAATCTTTTGTTTGGAAAATGGCTCTGCTGCTACTTTAAAAAGTTTGAAAACCACTACTTTAGAACAACATTTAGCCACAATAGTAGGTCTCAATTATACTTTTCCAAGTTCAAGACCGCTTTAAAGACACTTCAGAGGAATGTGTTGGAGGTTCCTTTCTTTTTTGGCATTGCCGAAGATTGTCTCCGCTAGGAAATGTCATCTTTGTCATTTAAAAATGAGTTATTATGGGAGTTCCCACAATTCCCATAATAACTCAATTGATAGGAGCTCTCTTCAGCTTTCAAAAAGCTCATGCACAGTAAGATTTTCAAGCTCAGACCATTTCTATATTTTGAAGACATTTAAAAAGGATTTGATTCAATCTGGCACCTAAAACCCTACCTAAGTCTGTTTTAGAGGGGAGTTGGTGGGCAAACATATGACACAGTTTTAATTATGAATCAATCTGTCAGCTATAAGATTAAAAATAAATAATATGCAAATAGCTGCCTTCAGAAGAGAACCAGGCATTAAAATAGGATTTCAGTCCTGTGTCTTTTTAGCCTGATGCTCATTATCTGACTGGTTTCTTCACCCCTAACGTGCCATTGGACATTTACCTGGTAATTTTCCTCTGCTGGTCTTCCAGTTAGGTGTGAGAGGTCCATGTCTTCTTCTCAGAACCATGATAGCATTGAAAAACAACAGATCAGATCAGCCCAAACAAAGTTCTTTCTTTTTTTTCTTTTTCACACTGAGAGTAGATCTTTTTTTTTTTTTTTTTTGAGACGGAGTTTCGCTCTTGTTGCCCAGGCTGGAGTACAATGGCACGATCTCCGCTTTTTTTTTTTTTTTTTTTGAGACGGAGTTTCGCTCTTGTTGCCCAGGCTGGAGTACAATGGCACGATCTCCGCTCACCACAACCTCCACCTCCCGGGTTCAAGCGATTCTCCTGCCTCAGCCTTCTGGGTAACTGGGATTACAGGCATGTGCCACCATGCCTGGCTAATTTTGTATTTTCAGTAGAGATGGGGTTTCTCCATGTTGGTCAGACTAGTCTTGAACTCTCAGACTCGGGTGATCCACCCACCTCAGCCTCCCAAAAGTGCTGAGATTACAAGTGTAAGCCACCATGTCCAGCTTAGATCATTTTTTTAATCTTCCCTTCTTTCTTCGAACTGTACCAAGACCTGTTATCTGTAAAAACAGCATGTAAGAAAGCTCTGCTGGCCCCTGCGTTGTGAAGATATCTTGCCCATCTTTTTTTACTGCTAAGATGGAATCAACCTTTCAGTTTCTCTTTTTTACCCTCTATCTTTGGGGTTAAAAGGTTAACAGACTCATAGTAAACAAATCATTTGACCTTGGTGGAGAGAGAATATACCCAGGACCAGAAAGTAGACCTACCAATTTTCCTTGCACATTCCCTGGATCGAAATCAAGAAGGGTTGTCCTGAATGGTAAATATATTTTACCTGCATCATTTCAGTTTTCAAAGATCTGAATAAAAAAATTGAATAAACACTTCTATCCCTATTTTAGAGAGGCAGTATAGTTTAGGGGGCAAGAATGTAGATTCTTGAGTTTTAGTGTTGGGTTCGAATTCTGGTTTTGTTATTTACTAGCAGTGACCTTGGGCAAGTTACCTAGCATCTCTGTTGCCCCAATTTCCCCATCCATAAAATAGAAATAAAATAATACCTACTTCAAAGGACAGTAGTGAACATTGCCTGTTACTATGCCTTTTTAAAAAAACTCACAAAGACCATTAATTTACTGCCTATGTCATAAGTCAGTTTAATATCTGTAAACTCAGTAACATATGTGTGTGTGTGCATGGGTGTGTCCAACATTTAATATCATGACTCCAGCAACTTGAAACAAGGTCACAAGCTAACTGTGTTACGGCTTGGGTAGATAGAATATGTGTATAAAAAGTCCAAATCAATTAAAATGCCTTAAATCTCAGTATGGGTACTTTACAAAAACATGTAACACTTCTCTTGTCAAATGGGCAAAATAGAGATGATGACCAAATATAGAACCAGCAATCACAAACCAGAAATATAATCAGAGCCACAAGAACCCTTGTAGACTTGATGACAACAGGGAAATAGAAAGACCCTTCTTACTCCAATGGGCCCATCTCAACTGAGTGATACCAAATTGCCCTTTTCCAAGTATTTCTTCTTTAGCATTTTATAATATAATTTTGGGAGAAAACGAAAAGGTGGCAGAAATGGGCTACTATCACAAATGATAAATTGCATTTTTTTCATGAATCAAAGAAAGCAGGTACCCAAAGTCTTAACTACATCCTTGAATGACAAGTAAATTATTTTGGCAATGGTGTGTTTCCATGTGAGTAGACTTTCTGTAGTCTGGTCTGTTTATTCCCCCAAGAGGCTTTTTTTTTTTTTTTTTTTTTTTTTGAGATGGAGTCTTGCTCTGTCACCCAGGCTGGAGTGCAGTGGCGCAATCTTGGCTCACTGCAAGCTCCGCCTCCTGGGTTCACACCATTCTCCTGCCTCAGCCTCCCGAGTAGCTGGGACTACAGGCGCCTGCCACCATGCCCGGCTACTTTTTTGTATTTTTAGTAGAGACGGGGTTTCACTGTGTTAGCCAGGATGGTCTCGATTTCCTGACCTCATGTTCACATGATACATTAAGGTCAAATAACATGCAAGAAAATTCAAAAAATTAAAAGAGTAAGAGCAGATGAGTAAATATAGTGTTCACTCCCATGTCACAGATGGAGAAACCAACCCAGCAAAGGTCAGATGGCTTATTTGGGGTTCCAGAATCCATTTTATATCTTCCAAGCCAGCCTGCCTGTCTTACTTTTCTTTGGGAAAGAGGTAGGCGGAAGCATAGTAGTTAAATGGAGACATTACGAAAAACATCTTGAGGAATAGGTTTACTACATACAGGAAGGAGACCAGTTGAACTAGTGGGCATTGTTTATTCATTGTTTCTGGTTTCGGGAGATTTAACATGTCACAGAAAGGGAAAGGCAGGGACCCTACAAGTCATAAGTGTCTGCTAGAAATGGCAAATGTGCAGATTTTGCTTATTTGTCTTCCTTGATAAAGAAGGTATCTGAGCTAAGAACCTGACCAGATAACTTTTATTCCCCTTTTTGTAGCTGACAGTGTATCTCAAAACAGTACATTATGAATTAATGTGGCTTTTGACATTAAAAAGCAAATCACTAGACCATTAGACCATACACTAAAAGGTTATCAGCTCAGTTAACAAAATGAAAAGTTGTATCTCTTCTGAGTACATTTGTGGACAAATGTACTTAATTGATGTTCTTTAATTCTATGTGCCTGGGGAGATTTTTTTAAAAACTGATAATCAAAGAGGGTTAAAATAGGGAATTAGTCATGAAAGCAATGGCAACATTTCATAAACGAAATCGACTCTAGGTTTGAAAATTGGAAACAATTAATAACTGTAGGCTTAATGGCATTTCCTTTTAATTTCCTTCTTTTTGTTACATACAATTTAATTTACTGCCTGTGTGCCTCAGTCCAACTATTATTAGAAAATTGCCCTTAAACTTCTAAAGTATTATACATGAAAGCTCTCTGCAAGCAGTAATTCTAAACCTCAGCAAAGAGAATAGGAAAGCTAAATGTTCTGAAACTGAAGTCATTCTGCTACTGAGCAGGAAAGTAATTTAGCAAACCCCGATTAAATCTCTCTCAATAAAATGACAGTTTCATATACATGGCTTCCCATTGTCTGATAGCCAACTGTATAGTAAAATACATTAAAGTGATGGTATAGTACAGTATTGTATTTTCAGGGTTTTTCTGAGTTTCCCTTAAGTTTTTTTTCCTTGGTTGTATGAAATGAAATTTATTGCTTGTGATATTATTGAAATAACTCCTGGTGCCCTTCCCTGTCAGTCTTCCTTGATAAGAACTTCATTTTGCTTTCTAAGACTGTGGCCATCTCTAATAATAAGGTCCTAGAGATAGTGTCATGGGCATTTTTAGCTTAATTAGCAGATTGTGATACCAGTCTATTATTAATTTGCATTTTCCTTCCATATTGTATTATTTCTGTCAACTTGATCTCATTCAAAGTCATCCGTTTCATGCAGTGATTACTTTTGATTGCTTTTGCCATATTTCTTAGATGTGTCCTGAGTTAGAGAGAAACTGGGTCTTTTTCTACCACTGCTCATGTTTAGAGTTAAGTGGGTGGGCGTGGGAGCTTGGACGTGACTCTCAAGGTCAGGTGGGCAAACTCATGAGCGGCACGTTGATTGCCAGTGTCACGTGAGTTCAGAAATCCATAGCCCTAGAAGCAGTTTCTCATTTGAAATGAATGTGCTTGGCGTGTAACTGGATTCCTTTCCTCTTTTAGGTAATCACAGACCTGGAGGAGCAGCTAAACCAGCTGACTGAGGATAACGCTGAACTCAACAACCAAAACTTCTACTTGTCCAAACAACTCGATGAGGCTTCCGGCGCCAATGATGAGATTGTACAACTGCGAAGTGAAGTGGACCACCTTCGCCGGGAGATCACAGAACGAGAGATGCAGCTTACCAGCCAGAAGCAAGTAAGGAGAGTTAACAAGGTCATGAGATCCTTGGAGGACTTTTAGAAGAATTTTAGGAGGAGTGCTTGGTGCATTCTCCCAAGGGTTCCAACACTAAACTTCATACCCAACTTCACTGGGCTCTTTTTAGAATCATGTCTTGTTTCTAAGTCTTTAGGGTTTTAAAAATGGCTTTTAAAAGTGTGTAGTTCTTATTAATTTTGATTTTAAAAAATTGGGCCGGTGTGGCAGCTCTTCCCTGTTATCCAGACACTTGGGGAGGTAGAGGCGATAAGATCACTTGAGCCCAGGAGACCCCATCTCTTAAAACAAAAAAGATAAAAATTAGCTGGGCTTGGTGGTGCATGCCAGTAGTTCCAGCTTTTTAGAAAGCTGAGGCGGGAGGAATGCTTGAACCCAGGAGCTCGAGGCTGCAGTGAACTGTGATCATGCCACTGTACTCCAGCCTGGGTGACAGAGCTAGACCCTGCCTCGAAAAAATAAATGTAGATAAAAACAAAATCAAATGCTTTGGGAGATCAACGTAAATGGCTTGATTTTAAGCTTAGTCGCTTCCCCTGGCTTTGCTTTGGGTTCTGCCTCTAAGGTGGCTGCAGCACTGGCCCTTCGTCCATTCTTGCCTGGTCCCCTCGGGCTGCAGAGGAAAAAGACAAGCTGCATTTCAAACTGTAGTTAGAAACTTGTGCTTTTCTGAAACTGACCTGACCAAAGTAATCTCCAGGAAATCCTTGTTTAAAGATAAGGCACAAATCCGTGGTACTGATTTGCAGACGATGGAGGCTCTGAAGACCACGTGTACCATGCTGGAGGAACAGGTCATGGATTTGGAGGCCCTAAACGACGAGCTGCTAGAAAAAGAGCGGCAGTGGGAGGCCTGGAGGAGCGTCCTGGGTGATGAGAAATCCCAGTTTGAGTGTCGGGTTCGAGAGCTGCAGAGGATGTTGGACACCGAGAAACAGAGCAGGTGGGGTTTTGTGTTTGTGGAAAGCTCATGACAGGTGACCGCAGGAGGATCAGCCTGAGAGTTGTGAACAGGGTGATCAGCTTTCCCAGCTGAGACTGAGAAGCTTCCTGGGGCACAAGCCTCCTGGTGCTTAAAACCAGGAGACTCTTGGGCAAACCAGGATGGGGTGGTCACCCTAGTTGTAAACGTAGATAGTGTGAGTTGGATTCTGTGGCTGTGGCTGGTATCTGTTTTCCCCATGCAGAGGCCTGGGCATCAGGGCAAATACCTCTGTTTTCTGTGTAGAAACACTCTCATGAGGTTTCTTATCAGAGTAACCATAGCAAGAACATTACCATTTTAATCCTGGTCATGTGCAGTGCTAGTCTTCCCTCCACCCCAGGATTCCTCAACCTTGGCACTATTGACATGTCAGGCTGGGTCATTCTTTGTTATGGGGGCTGTCCTGTGCATTGTAGGATATTGAGCAGCATCCCTCGTCTCTGCTCACTAGATGCCACCAACAACCCCCTTCCCAAGTTGTGACAACAAGTATGTCTCTGGACATTGTCCCCAATGGAGAACCACTGCTTTACAAGAATAGTTTAGTGGTTTTTTTTTCCTTTTCTTGGAGACAGAGTCTGACTCTGTCACCCAGGCTGGAGAGCAGTGGCACCATCTCAGTTCACTGCAACCTCCACCTCCAGGGTTCAAGAGATTCTCCTTCCTCAGCCTCCCAAGTAGCTAGGAATACAGGTGTGCGCCACTATGCCCGGCTAATTTTTTTTGTATTTTTAGTAGAGATGGGTTTTCACTGTGTTGGCCAGGCTGGTCTTGAACTCTTGACCTCAAGTAATCCACCTGCCTTGGTCTTCCAGAGTGCTGGGATTACAGGCATGAGCCACCATGCCTGCCTGTTTTTTCTTTTTTTTCCTTTCTTAGTAGGAAGTGATAATAATCAGTTCAGGTAGTGTCGTTCCTCTGCTTTCTCACTTTTGTTTCCACAGTTCACCTAGTATAGATTTCCCTTCCTGCAGGGCCACAGTGGTGCAATTGTGTACTCCATAGCTCTGAGGGTTGCTGGTCACATTGAAGATGTCATAGACTGGAAGAGTTGTTATGACAGATTTACAGCTCATGGCAGGAAACTGTTCTGTTTCTGACAAAATTGGTATGTGATGACGTTTCACAGATGGAAAGAAATGGCCTAGAAGGACGGGTGCCGCTTTCCAGTTTGTACAAAGGCACGATATGGGCTAGTGTGTGCCCCGTGACTTCCTGTCTACACAGCTAGTTGGATCCATTTTTCATAACCTTGCTCATGTCACCTTCCTCTGAAACTTACCTTCCTGTGATTCTCTGAACTCCTTAAGCAAGATAAGCTATCCGCAGAAATATCAATCAATGAATTAATCTGTGTCACACTCTTTTGGGTATCTCTCACATTTACTGGGCCATAGTAGGCTCAACTAAATATATCAGATGGATTATGCAAAGTTCAGCTGAGCTTCAAAAGTTTGGAGGTAAAAGATGAGGACCCTTACATTTCAAGAGAAATGATAGAAACAATTCCTTTTTGTGGATCCTCCCAGCTTCTACACTCAGGGTATTTGTTGATGTGAGGGACTGCTGTTTAAGTCTCCTGTTCCAGCTTCCTTCTGAAACCTTAGACTCTGCCATCCTCACTATAAGTTCTGGTTGTTTTCTCACAGACCCCTTCCCTCCCGTCCTCAAGTGCAGCTCCTATCCTAGCTGTTTCTAGGGACCTACGGAGATCATTTTTGGGGTAGGATCTGGCTTCAGCATCAAGAAATACATGACCATACATGGAAGGTATAATTATGAACTGTTCTCAGGAAGACTAGCATTAGTCTGCTTTCATTTCATGTCTGCTTTCAGGGCAATTGTGGAAGATCGTGCCTTTCTTTTCTTTTTTTTTTTCTTTTTTCTGTTTTGGTATTATGTGGGATACTGAGATGAGTAAAATATAATTGTTAATCCGTGTTCTCAAGAGCCTAAGAGTCTACTGGAGGAGATATGGATTCAGATATTTAGGAGAGATGGGGAGGCTGAAGTGGGTGGATCACTTGAGGTCAGGAGTCTGAGACCAACCTGGCCAACATGGCGAAATCCTGTCTTTACAAAAAATACAAAAATTAGCTGGGTGTGGTGGCATGCGCCTGTAGTCCAAGCTACTTGGGAGGCTGAGGCAGGAGAATTGCTTGAATCTTGGAGGTGGAGGTTGCAGTGAGCTGAGATCGCGCCACTGAACTCCAGCCTGGGCGACAGAGTGAGACTCCATCTCAAATATGTATATATATATTTAGGAGAGAAATACAGTTATGCTTTGGATACAGAACAAGGTGACGTTACTTCTGAGAAGAGAAAGTGGAAACAGTTTTATGGAGATCATAGCATTTGAATTTATCCTTGAAGGCTGAGTAAGATTTGAGTTTGCAGAGTAGCAAAGGAGGAGATGGCCAGTGGAGGAGATTGTATAAGCCAAAGTGTGGAAGTAGGAAGCATGATACCTAAATGGGGAAGGGGAAGTGATTTTTTTTTTCCCAGTTTGCTTCTGATTTTTCTGTTCTTTAGCATTATTTGGGGAGACACTCATCAGATTCAAGTTTCACTTTTGTTTTTTCTTTCTTTTTTGAGACGGAGTCTTGCTGTGTTGCCCAGGGTGGAGTGCAGTGGCACCATCTTGGCTCACTGCAACCTCCGCCTCCAAAGTTCAAGCAGTTCTTCTGCCTCATCAGCCTCCTGAGTAGCTGGGATTGCAGGCACGCGCCAGCATGCCTGACTAATTTTTTGTATTTGTTGTAGAGATGGGGTTTCACCATGTTGGCCAGGCTAGTCTCGAACTCTTGACCTCAGGTGATCCGCCCACCTCAGCCTCCCAAAGTGTTGGGATTAAGACGTGAGCCACCACACCCAGCCTCAAGTTTCAGTTTCTTGATGAGTACCCAAAAACATTTAACTTTTTTTTTTTTGTTTGTTTGTTTGTTTTTTTTTGAGATGGAGTCTTGCTCTGTCACCCAGGCTGGAGTGCGGTGGTGTGATCTTGGCTCACTGCAACTTCCACCTCCTGGGTTCAAGTGATTCTCCTGCCTCAGCCTCCTGAGTAGCCGGGATTAGGGGTGCACACCACCACACCCGGCTAATTTTGTATTTTTAGTAAAGATGGGATTTCACCATGTTGGCCAGGCTGGTCTGGAACTCCTGACCTCAGGTAATCCACTCACCTTGGCCTCCCAAACTGTTGGGATTACAGGTGTGAGCCACTGCGCCTGGCCTGTTTTGTTTTTTCTCACCCAAACCTAACATGGGTCAAATCTTTGCTTGGTAAGCTGTTGGAAAGGAAGACAGTTTGGAACTAAGAGTCTAGGTTGGGCATCTCTCTGGCCTGCAGCCTGTTTAGTTGCTCGTCAGGATTAGAGATGGACCAGCCTTCTTTCAACAGGTCAGCTGTTGGGGGGCTTCCAAAAGCTGACCTGTGTTTTTCTGGCAGGGCGAGAGCCGATCAGCGGATCACCGAGTCTCGCCAGGTGGTGGAGCTGGCAGTGAAGGAGCACAAGGCGGAGATTCTCGCTCTGCAGCAGGCTCTCAAAGAGCAGAAGCTGAAGGCCGAGAGCCTCTCTGACAAGGTCAGCGCCCACCCCTTCTGCTTTTTAGGAAAACATTTTCGTTTCCTTCTTTTAAAGGCACGCTTGATAAAAATTCAAATGCAATCCATGGCAAACATATTTCATAAACATATGTTCATGCACTCCAAAAATGTCCCATGGTTTTGCCTTACCATGGGACATTTTTGGTTGGCAGTAGCGTGGGTGGGTGTGGTGGGTGCCCAGTGATCACAGTCGGCCAGTGACTTTTTAAAATCTGTGTATCTAGGCCCTTGAAGTTCGAATTTTGATCTGGGTGTTCTACTCTCTGGTTGTCTGGCATCTTATTTCCAGAAGGCTTTATGGATTGAATGCTGTGCATCTTTGGGAAGTTCTTGGTGGCAGTGACTAATGCTCATCCCATTGCTGCAGTAATAGGTAGCTCAGCTTCTCCTTGTTCCAAGTTCAGGGTCATGATAGGGTCTGATGACGCATTCCAGTTCTCAGTATTTCACATGGGAAATACACGTGTTCCATCCATGTGCCTCTCCATATTACATTTACAGTCATAACCAATGTTTTAGAGATTTTAGCTAATAATCTTGAGAGAGATACAGAATAGGTACTTCAGTGTTACAGATCACCAAGGTGAAGATCAGAGGAATTTTATGTATAAACACACAGATGCGTACATAGACACTCTTTTTCATGCACATACACACACAAAATAACAATCTGATTTTATATTTTCTACAACTTTGTTATTTCATGATAGAAAAATAGTTATTTGGGTCATTGTGGAAAATATAGAAACCACAGAAAAGTAAAGGAAATAATGGCTGGTCACCCATTGCTATTGTTTTATTCGTGAATTTATTTGCAGTCTCTGTGCTTATGTTTATGCATATACACACATACATAGACATACGTATGTATTTTTATAAATTAGATTCTCATGTGTACAGCTTTACATGTTTTTATTAAAAATCATTTAACTGCAGGTTTTTTCTGAGTTGAGTATTTTTTGAACATGTGATTCTAAAAAAAATAAATAAATTCCATGGAAGTACCTACTTTAATCATTATACTTGTATTGGAAATTTGAGCTTCCAGTATTTTGCCATATAAATAACAGTGTGATAAATATGAATCTTTATGGACATCATGATTATTTTCTTACCAGATACTTATATTAATAGAAACAGAATTATTAGATTTAAGGCCAGAGCTCTCTAGTGAGGAACACTCCTGAGTTCCCTGAAACTGGGTTACCACTTTTTTTTTTAGCATGAGGAAACTAGATTTATTAGAGATATGTGAGGCCTTTTATGTTTAATGTGAAAAATATTTTTTTCTAGTTGACTGCTCTTAAAGTATTAAGCAGCAAAGTCCTTTGTATCTTTTAAAGCTCCAGACTTTGCAATACCTTATTGTCTTGATCTTCTCCTAATTGGGATGAATTTCTCCTTCCTAAGCCTTTCTTATCAAACTTAAAATCTGACAAAACAGTCATTATTTGCGTACGTGTCTAGTTATGGGCCTTTCTGACTTGATGTAAGATCCTTGAGAGCTTAGTTATCCTTTCATCCTAAAAGCCATAATGCAGGTAGTAAGCATTCAGCATATGATTATTTAATTAAATTCAGCCAAAGCATGTCAGATAAATAAATCCTTAAGCAGTCATCTCCTAGAACTTGTCATGGCTATATTTAAGAGCCATCCCTTAGAAATAATTTCCATCCTCATTTAATAACCTATGGAAGACTCACCAGTGACATGGACTTCTGTATTTAGAAAAAAGCAACCTTTACGTTCTGACCTTTAGAACTCAATATTCTTTCTTCGTGAAGGTTCGTGGACATTCATAAAAGTTGTCAGCATCTAACATTCCTAAATGTGGCATTATGCCAATCTTTCCAAATGTCTAGCTCAATGACCTGGAGAAGAAGCATGCTATGCTTGAAATGAATGCCCGAAGCTTACAGCAGAAGCTGGAGACTGAACGAGAGCTCAAACAGAGGCTTCTGGAAGAGGTGAGTGTGAAACACCTGGGATAAGGGCCAAGTAGAATTTTTTCTTTTAATAGGCTTTATTCTTTGGAGCAGCTTTAGGTTCACAGCAAAATTGAGCAGAAAGCACAGAGAGTTCCCACATACTCCCCGCCCCCTCCTCCCACAACGTCCCCAGCTGTCAACACCCTGTTCCAGAGTGGTCCATTTGTTACAATCAATGGGCCTGCACTGACACATCATCATCACCCCAAATGCATACTTTAAATTAGGTTTGCTCTTGGTGTTGTACATTCTATGGGTTTTGACAAATGTATAGTGACAGTTATCCACCTTTACCATATCATACAGGATAGTTTCACTGCCCTAAAAACCCTCTGTGCTCTGCCTGTTCATCCCTCTCCACCCTCAACTCCTGGCAGCCACTGATCTTTTGCTGTCTCCATAGTTTTCCCTTTTCCAGAATGTTGCATATCTGGAGTCACACAGTATGTAGCCTTTCAGATTAGCTGCTTTCACTTAGTCATATGCATCCAGGTTTCCTCCATGTCTTTTCACGGCTGGTAGCTCATTTCTCTCTGGAGTCTTTTTTTTTTTTTTTTGATCTTGCTCTGTTGCCCAGGTTAAGGTGCAGTGGTGCAATTACTACTCACGGCAGCCTTGACTTCCTGGTTTCAGGTCGTCTTCCCACTCAGCCTCCTGAGTAGCTGGGACTACAGGTATATGCCACCATGCTCGAGTAATTTTTGTATTGTTTTGTAGAGACGGGGTTCCCCCCTGTTTCCCAGGCTGGCTGGTTTTGAACCCCTGGGCTCAAGTGATCTACCTGTCTAGGCCTCCCAAAGTGTTGGGGTTACAGGCATGAGTCCCCGTGCCCTGCCTGAACTTTTAAACAAATTTCTTAAAAAGATTTTTTTATTTCAATAGCTTTAGGGGTACAAGTGTTTTTTTGGTGACATGGATGAATTGTGTGGTGGTGAAGTCTAGGCTTTTCGTGTACCTGTGACCCAAATAGTGTATATCGTACCTGATAGGTAATTTTTCATCCCTCACTCCCCTCCTTGCCTTCCCCCTTCTGAGTCCACAGTGTCTATTATACCACTTTGTATGCCTTTGCATACTCATAGCTTAGCTCCCACTTGTAAGTGAGAACATGCAGTAGTTAGCTTTCCATTCCAGGTGGAATTTTGAAAGTGACAATTTGTCAGATCCAAATTAGACATTTTGAAATTAGAATTTTCAGGTAAGAGTATGGGGGTCATATAATGCTTGTCTTAAGGTATTTAATGCATTAAAAATATGTCATGAAGGCCAGAGGGTCTCTGTCATTTTTATCCTTCTACGTGAAGCTTAATAGAGTATCAAGCACATAGCGTATGCCAAATAGAAGTTTATTAAATACATGGGTGAGTGAATATTGAGTTAAATTGTTCTTTAGAGCTAATATCCAAAGTATATTAAGTTTCATGCCGATAGGATATCCATGCAAATTAGCTTCCTGCATAGGGCAGACTTTTATCAGATTATTCTGAGTACCAAATTTCATGAAGGCTTTTGAACATTGGGTAATTTAGTTAAAAATAATGTGTGCCCTGCTTTTGAAGCATAAAAGACAAGCTCAGACTGATCTCCTAAACCCGTGCCTTACGTGATGGCTGGTACCTTTTCACAGAACTCTGAGAATTGCTATTTAAATTGATGACTACCTCCGACACCCCAGCCAGAGCCCTCTATGTTGAATCACTGATGATTCTGCTTTGTTCTTTAGGATTGACCTGCAAGGATAAATGCACTTTATAATGAAAAACTGGACTCCAAAGAGTATTCTGTTTAACCCTTAGTGAGCCTGACAGTTTAATTAACCAGAATGCCCTGTTCTGGCTGATGAGGTTTTGTCACATGATACTCATAGCTCCTGAGGCACTTTGCTGATAGAAGTAATACTGTTGTGCTATTAAGTTTGAAAAGTGTAGTAAAATTTTTGCAGGTGAGTATAAAATATTTTATTGAATGATAATTTTAAAAATATGGGTGGCTGAGGCATGAGGATTGCTTGAGGCCGAGAGTTTGAGACCAGTCTAGGCAGTATAGTGAGACCCCGCCTCTACCAAAAAAAAAAAAAAAAATCAGCCAAGCGTGGTGGTGTGTACTTCTAGTCCCAGCTACTCAGGAGGCTGAGGTGGGAGGACCACTTGAGCCCAGGTGTTTGAGGCTGCATTGAGCTCTGATGGTACCACTGCACTGTAGCCTGGGTGACAGAGTGAGAACCTGTGTCAAAATAAAAATTAAAATGAAATATGGGTGGGAGTTTGGGAAAGTTCTAGAAATGGATGGTGGTGATGGTTACACAATAATATGAGTGTACTTAATGCCTCTGAACTATACACTTAAAAATGGTTAAAATGGTAAATTTTATGTGTATTTTGCCTCTGTAAACAATTTAAAAAATAAAATTTAATACTAAACACACATACACACACACACATTTGGTGAACACACACAGGAATTCACCCTATGGCCTTATGAACAACACTACAATGGGAATGTTAAATGTACCTCGTGGTCAAATAGAGAATTAGGGTCTTTTATCTGGGATGAATAGACAGTGTTCCCACTTTAGGCACATCCTGGAAACAGAAAGAACAGAAATAATCAATGCTCATGCCTGTCCTATTTTCCTTCTGAGAAGGCGAGTTGGCCCTGACAGCTCAGTACTTTGGTCCAAGGTTATGTGGTGAGTCAGTGACGACTCTAGGAATAGAGTGCCGGGATCCCGATCCAGTTCCCTCCTTCTCACTTCTAAACCTACATGAGAACATCTCCAGTTTCCCAGGATGTTCCTCACAGAAAGATTTTTGAGCACAGACATCTGGCTGACATTGAGCCTGAGGCGGATTTCTGCGACAGTTGAAGCCGTTCTGGAACAAAGAATGCTCTTTATTGCCCACATTGTGATTGGGCCTCCTGGTTGGTGTGTGCTGTATAAGCATATGTGCCCAAGGTTTCCACCTCAGTGTCCTCTTCGTAGGTACGGAGACTTTTATTTTTTATTTTATTTTATTTTATTTTTTTTGAGACGGAGTCTTGCTGTGTCGCCCAGGCTGGAGTGCAGTGGCATGCTCTTGGTTCCCTGCAACCTCCACCTCCGAGGGTCAAGTGATTTTCCTGCCTCAGCCTCCTGAGTAGCTGAGATTATGGGTATACACCACCACTCCTGGCTAATTTTTTGTATTTTTAGTAGAGATGAGGTTTCACAATGTTGGCCCAGCTGACCTTGAACTTCTGGGCTCAAATGATCCGCCCACCTCAGCCTCCCAATGTGCTAGGATTATTGCATGAGCCACCATGCCCAGCCTATAAGGAGACTTTTAAATGGAGCCAGAATCAAAGTCTCAGAATTGAAATAATTTTTATATTATGCAGTCTGAATTTCCAGCACTGTTCCCTTTATCTCTGCTCCTGACAAACTTTACTAATGGATCTTTCTTTCACATTTTTCCTCCTGGGCCCAAAATGACTTCAGAAGCTTTCTCAACATGACACTTTATAGCCACTCTCAGTGCATTGGAAGTAACACCAGTGATCAAAGTCCAGTTGCTAGTCCTGGTCAAATTCATCTCTCATCCAAGGTAGAAGATGCCTTCCTCAACACTCCTCATAGATAGGCCCCGTTGAACCTCGGCCTAAATACTTACAATGACTTTGGACATCCCAACCAATTTTCCAGCAACTCTCATTCTTAGAACATTCTTATTTGGAACTGAAACCTTGCACTTTAAAAAACCACTGGTTCCATTACGTTGAAACACATGAAATTAGAAAGTAGTCTGATATCTCCAACCAAAATGAGAGATTAATATTGATTAATAGTCAGATTACTTGATTAATTATTAAAATAACTAAGGTTTAATTAGCACTTACCATGTGACTGACTCTCTGAGTACTCTACGTGAATTAACTCTTACGGTCCTTGCAACGTTCCTGCAAGATAACTAGTTTTATTATCTCTATGATAGTCAACTAGCTATCCAAATAGCTCTCCCACTCCAAATTGCCTTCTCTTTTATTTTTTCAAGTTTTTTTTGTATAGACGGGGGCTCCCTATGTTGCCTAGGCTGGCCTCAAACTCCTAGGCTCAAGTGATCTTCCCGCCTTGACCTCCCAAAGTGCTGGGATTACAAGAGTGAGCCACTGCGCCCGGCCACCTTTTTTTTTTTAAGTGAAACATTTTAGATCCCCTCAAGCTTTGGATGTTCTTTTCTGGTAGATTTGTCTTTCCACAGAGAGTTTCTACAAGTCTATGTGGTCTGAATAGCACTGAATACATTGGGATCTTTCCATCTCCATACTGGGCTCTAAACCTCTGCCAATTACCTGGGCCCTTTGGGTAGTTTTGATCACATCACTGACACCATTGGTCTGTTAAATCATTACCTACCTTTCCACAAGTTTGCTTTTTCTTAAAAACATCTTTATGTTCTATATTTATTCTGTTGACAATTTAAAAATTACCATCCTACTGAAGTTTTTCTTGTTGGTCTTGATCCATTCTTCCAGCCCACCGGGGTTGTTTCACGCTCTTATTCTGTCATACAGCCCCTGTCTTTTTCCTGCCAGTTTCCTGTCACCCTTGTAAAATTGTTGGACAGGTCTAAACACACAGCTAAGGCCCCCCTTTCAGTCTAACACTGGCCCATGAATATACCTCCGTTTGCTTCTTTCTGGGAAGCAGGTAAATGCTTCTGAAAAACATTTTCATAGAGTACAAATGCCCCGCTTACTTCAACCAGCCTATTTCTTGGAAAGCCAATGGACAGTTGATGCATTTATTCTAGAAAAATATTTTGGGCTTGGCTGTCACCAAACAGATTCTCGTCCGCAGCACTTGTTTCTCTGGTTTCTGCCTAGTAATTAATGTTGTCCTAAAATAGTGGGAAGAAACTAAAGAGGGTAATTTGCAGAAGAAATCACTCATGCTGCGGAGGAGGGTATCTTAGCTGTTTCTTTCCTTTCTTCCTGTATTTTAGGGGGCTCTGTGGTTTGATTGAGAAATTCCAGGTTACGCACATGGGCCAAATGGTTTTTTTAATTTTAATTTTAATTTTAATTTTTTTAGAGACAGGGTCTTGCTCTGTCATCCAGGCTGGAATGCAGTGGCATAATCATAGCTCATTGCCACTTTGAACTCATGGGCTCAAGCAGTCCTCCCACCTCAGCCTCCCAGAGTCCTGGGATTTCAGGCGTGAGCCACTGTGCCCGGCCCCAAGTGATCTTTAGTTGGTAGCTCTTGGTTTATGGCAGTGTTGTTAGCGAAAGGCAGATGGGAGGATGAGAGGGAGCACCTTAACTGAATGGAGGGAAGAAAGAAGGACAAAGGAGATGGAGAGGACAAACATTCAGTAAGCACCTGCTGTATACTGGGCACTGTGTTCAATATGTCATCCAGTGAGGCAAGCTAGTATACCCACTTTCAGATGAAGAAACTGAGGCTCCGAGAGGTGATAAATACAGACTTTAACAGATATCAGTGATATGGGAAGTGTAAAAGTCAGGATTTAAACCAGGGTCTGTAAGAATCTATCATCCAGGTCTTTCTACTGCAGCACAATGCCTTAGGGAATCAGCTACCTGTTAAGAGGAAGGGCAGGTGAGGAATATAAATGGAAAGAAAAACAGAGGTTTTTCCTCTCTGTCCAGAGGAAATTCTGAGGGCCAGGAAATTCTGAGATTATCATTGCCCCTGGGCCTGCTGGGATGGAGGAGTTTGGGGGCTGCCATAGGCCTTTTGGAATCTCCAGTGGTGATGTTTATTGCTTTGAGTAGCTGTCTGTCCCTAAGTCTGCAGAGGACCCAGGCTACCAGGGAAGAGATTATTTGGGCCACAGTAAGTGTTGTTAAGCTATAATCCAGGGTTTGAATAAAATCAAGCACCGTCTCATCAGGATGCCTGCTCTCTCCTGCTTTTTTAGAAACGGATGCGTTTTAGGAAAAAGAACCACAAAACCAGCGTCTTTATAGCCTGTCCTGTTTTCTCTTAACTTCCATTATAAAAATTGGAGCGAGATTTACAGCACAAAACTATTCTCAATATACTCAATGGAATTTCTTTTCTGGGTTTTACCAACACTCTGTACTTCTGGGATCTTCTTCTTTTCCCCCAGTGATGTAGAAATATCTCCCGTGATTGTGGCTATTCATGTACTTGTTGGGGTCTCTCACCCTGATGGGACACTTATTAAGTAAGGGATGATATGATTTCTCTTTGTGTATACCACACTGCATGCAAGGAGTAATTTCTCATAGCAACGATTAAGATCTTGAAAACAAAAAATAAAGACACATTGGACCTTAGTTGTCATGGCACTGAGTCGAATCCTTAGATGTCAACTTGGATGGCTCATGCCATCCAAAATATCCTCACCTTAATGTACCAAAATATCCTCAGTTGGAACTCTGGGAAGGCCAACCCTGTAGCCTGGACTTCCTGTAACGGCAAGGATCTTGGGACTTGTTGGCTGGCAGAGGTTTCTGTGCAAATTCATTTTAACTGTGCTTGCATCCTTTTGGAATAGATGACAATTGGTAATTCTGAATTGAGATGATTTCGAAAGCTGTACTTCTGGTGCCATGCCTGAAATTAGTTTGAAATAGGAACAGCGGGGGAACAAATTGTATTGTGTGCAGTATCAAGCATTTCCCTGGCCCTTCTCCCCACTAGCAAGCCAAATTACAGCAGCAGATGGACCTGCAGAAAAATCACATTTTCCGTCTGACTCAAGGACTGCAAGAAGCTCTAGATCGGGCTGATTTGCTGAAGACAGAAAGAAGTGACCTGGAGTATCAGCTGGAAAACATTCAGGTGAGGACTGGCAGAGGGAATCTGCTTAAAAATGGTCTGCACGGCTGGGCTCAGTGGCTCATGCCTGTAATCCCAGCACTTTGGGAGGCTGAGGTGGGCAGATCACCTGAGGTCAGGAGTTCGAGACCAACCTGGCCAACATGGTAAAACCGCGTCTCTACTAAAAATACAAAAATTAGCTGGGCGTGGTGGCGGGTACTTGTAGTCCCAGCTACTTGGGAGACTGAGGAAGGAGAATGGCTTGAACCCAGGAGGTGGAGGTTGCAGTGGGCTGAGATCACGCCACTGCACTCCAGCCTGGGCAACAGAGCAAGACTGTCTCAAGAAAATAAATAAACAAACAAATAAGTAAATAAATAAATAAAATGGTCTGCAGAGGCAAAGCACGATGGTAGAGTCATCTGGTAAAACTGTTGGTATCTTTGTGCTGCATATTGTGTGTATTTTCCCCAAGATTTTATTTTCAAAGATTTCAAACATTCAGAGAAGTTGGAAGATTTCTATAGTGACCATGACCTATAATGAACCTGTTGCTATTTTTACTTTTTCATGTATTTATCTATAAATACATCTTTTTTTCTCCTTTGCAGTAAAATTGGGACTAAATAAATACCGACTCAGTACTGTTTGTGTTGAATTTTCATATGTTAGCATCCTAACAACTTCACTGTTTAGTTTCTTAAAGTACCAACTTTAAAAGTAGATTTCTGTCTGGGTTTGAGGTTAGTGTGTTTTCTTGAATTTTAGGTTCTCTATTCTCATGAAAAGGTGAAAATGGAAGGCACTATTTCTCAACAAACCAAACTCATCGATTTTCTGCAAGCCAAAATGGACCAACCTGCTAAAAAGAAAAAGGTGAGTCAAAGTGTTTGAAAAGTGGGAGTTGTCAGTTTCACTCATCATTCATGGCTCAGTGCACACCACTGCGATATATCATCATAGAAACATAGAAGAAAACAAAGTATACTTCTTTTTTATTTTTGGTTTTATTTTGGGTTGAAAAATAGATTTTGAGATAATTATAATAGGTCTTATCGAAAGATATCATTAATCAAATGTAACACACTACTTTTTGTTTATGGCCATTCAAATTGTAGTATCTTTCGCTGTTAAAGAAGTCATCCCTTTCCAGCCCACACACATAGCAGCTGGAGCAGAGGGGGTGTATGCAGAGAGAAAGATTTATACCTAAGTCATGCATACATGACTCCAGAGGGGGTTAGCAAGTCACGAGTATGCAGCTTCAGCAGTTCAGGTCTATCATACCACACTCCAGAAAGGACTTGAACAGTGATCTAGTCCAGTCCTTTTGACTGGCTCACAAAGAGACAAGAACTCAGGGAGTTGGAGTGACCTGCCTGAAGTGTCTGACTGGACACTTCTCCGCTCTGCCAAGTACTGAACATCCCTTTTAGATCGTAAGAGACGAATTACAAACTAGGGGCAGGGTTATACGTAGTGCACATGAGAAGATTGTTTTTCATAAGCCCAATCTATACATGCTTTTCCCACTAAAGCCTTCACACTAGGTTTGGCCAGGTGTTCCCAGTTCCAAGAAAAGTTTCAAAGGAGCTTGCAGTTTCCTTCCAAATGCAGAAGCCTACCATAGTGGCAGTGGCAGTGGTTTTACAGGAGAGGCCTTGATGACTTAGAATACCTAGGAGGGAGGAGTGGAGGGCTGAAGTTGACAGTTATCTCAGTATTTCCAATGCTGTCTTCACTGTAAGGGGATGAGCACAACATTCAAAGGCCGCCTCCCACTAGACGTTGGCTGCATGGGAAGGATTTTCTTGCATGCTGCGTGACTGTAAATGGTTATTATGCTTATGATATTTAATCTTTTTTATTTTAGCAGTGAACTGTTATCTGGTTATGTCACTTGATTTAGTTAGGGTGTTTCCATTTGTTACTTTTTTTTAGTTAACTTTTTTTTAAGTTGCATTATTCTGTTTTCCTTTTTTTCCATGTATAGTAAATATTTTCATTTGCCTTTTTTTTTTCGAGTAAGCCCCTTGTTTTGACCTCATTTTAGCATTCTTTTTAAAATTTTGCTTCCTTTTACAAAACACTCATCTCTGTGTCTTGTAACTGAGCATCATGAGACATATTTCAAGGCAAGAGTGACCTCTGAACCATCTCTCCTGACTCCATACTCCATACTCTCCTGATTCCATTTTTTGAATGGGAAAGACTCAGGACATGACTCTCCTGTCTTGGCAATGCTAAAGGAAGAGGTGGTGGCCATTCAAGCATCTTTAATCCTCTTGGTGAAAACTTCCGCACCCCTATTTTTTTCAGCCGACTGGAACGGGCTGTGGCTCAGCCTACCCTTCCCCCAATTCACATGCCATTTTTACTAAATGCACTTACAGTGAGTATGCTCCTGGCTTTTGTGGTTTGCTCCTCCCGAGTCAGATTTCCTTTAGCTAGTTTCAAGTGCCAGTTTCCAGGAGTTAGGAGATATCTCTGTTTCCATTGCTAGGGTTTATTTAGTCGACGGAAAGAGGACCCTGCTTTGCCCACACAGGTTCCTCTGCAGTACAATGAACTGAAGCTGGCCCTGGAGAAGGAGAAAGCTCGCTGTGCAGAGCTAGAGGAAGCCCTTCAGAAGACCCGCATCGAGCTCCGGTCCGCCCGGGAGGAAGGTAGGGGCTCACTCTCTCCAAAGTGCTCAAGGCTGTGGAAAAGGCAGAGGATTGATCTCAGTGAGATCAGCCAAGACTAACTAGTTCAGTGTCTGTTTATGGCCCATATGCTTTCAAACCAGACATCCCATGTCTGAAAAACGTATAGCCCCTGTGTGTTGCCAAGTTGATGTGACACATATTCTTTTGGTCTTGGGTCCTTGAAAGACAGCCCAGGGACAGTCCGCTTGGTTTGGTTCTCTAGGCTACCCAGCTAACCAAAAGGCATTGTCCTGGTCTCTCTGCAGCTGCCCACCGCAAAGCGACGGACCACCCACACCCATCCACGCCAGCCACCGCGAGGCAGCAGATCGCCATGTCCGCCATCGTGCGGTCACCAGAGCACCAGCCCAGTGCCATGAGCCTGCTGGCCCCGCCATCCAGCCGCAGAAAGGAGTCTTCAACTCCAGAGGGTACGTTCTCAAGGGGCCGTTGTTGTTGTATGGAAATTTCTTTTTAGTTGACTAAGACATGCAGGCATATGGTAAAAATTACAAGTAATACTAGGGGATAAAGATTAAAAAGTCAGTCTTGGCTGGGCGCGGTGGCTCACGCCTATAATCCCAGCACTTTGGGAGGCCCAAGTGGGTAGATTATCTGAGGTCGGGAGTTCAAGACCAGTCTGGCCAACATGGTGAAACGCTGTCTCTACTAAAAATACAAAAATTAGCCAGGCACAGTGACTCACGCCTGTAATCCCAGCACTTTGGGAGGCCGAGGTGAGCGGATCACCTGAGGTTGGGAGTTCAAGACCAGCCTGACCAACATGGAGAAACCCCATCTCTACTAAAAATGTAAAATTAGCTGGGTAGTAATCCAGCTACTCAGGAGGCTGAGGCAGGAGAATCGCTTGAACCTGGGAGGCAGAGGTTGTGGTGAGCCGAGATCGTGCCATTGCACTCCAGCCTGGAGTAAAACTCCGTCTCAAAAAAAAAAAAAAAAAAAAACGAAGTCAGTCTTCTGGCTCCCCATCCTCAGATCCCTTACCCAGACTCAACCATTGCTTTCAGCCATTGTATCCTTCCAGTGATGGTTCATGTATGTGACCACATGTCTGTATCATTCATGTATCTTACATTGTGTGATTATATTTAAAGAATATGAGGAAATAGGCTGGGTGTGGTGGCTCACGCCTGTAATCCCAGCACTTTAGGACGCTGAGGCAGGCGGATCACCTGAGGTCAGGAGTTTGAGACCAGCCTGGCCAACATGGTGAAACCTCGTTTGCAGTAAAAATACAAAAATTAGCTGGGTGTGGTAGCACGCTCCTGAAGTCCCAGCTACTTGGGAGGCTAAGGCAGTAGAATCGTTTGAACCCAGGAGATGGAAGTTGCAGTGAGCCGAGATCACCCCACTGCACTGCAGCCTGGGTGATAAAGCGAGACTCCATCTCAAAAAAAAAAAAAAAAAGAAAAAAAAAAGAATATGAAAAAATAAGCACATCTCTCTCTCAGGCCTTTCTTCTTTTATAAATATCATTGTGGTGGCTCACGCCTGTAATCCCAACACTTTGGGAGGCTGAGGTGGGCGGATCACCTGAGGTTGGGAGTTCAAGACCAGCCTGACCAACATGGAGAAACCCCATCTCTACTAAAATGCAAAAGTAGCCGGGCGTGGTGGCGCATGCCTGTAATCCCAGTTACCTGGGAGTCTGAGGCAGGAGAACTGTTTGAACCTGGGAGGCGGAGGTTGCAGTGAGCCGAGATCAAGCCATTGCACTCCAGCCTGGGCAGCAAGAGTGAAACTCCATCTCAGAAACAAAAACAAGAAAAAATAAGCACATCTCTCAGGACTTCTTTCTTTTATAAGTATCATAGCCCACTACAGTATACACTGCAAGACACCTTCATTTCATTAAAGTGCTATCATAGAGGTTTCACGTTAGTACATAAGGACCAACCCCATTCTTTCAGAGAACCACACAGTATTCTGTAGTGTGAGCATGCAATTCACCTGTTAAACCAGGCTCCTGTTGATGGCCATTTAGGTTGTTTCCAATCCCCTGTTACTGTAAACACCTTGCAGAGGACATCCTGTGTCTCTGTGGGTGTTGTGCTTGGAGAAATTCCTGGGAAATGAATCATTGGGTTAAAGGTCATGTACATTTTGAATATTGGTAGTTTGTGCCAATCTATATTTCTACCAGTGTGAGGAGTTCTCTTTCTGGTCTCAAATGTACTCTGTTTACCTAGAGATTAAAAGGACTTAAGAAAAGGCCAAGGAAGCTGGTTTGGAATGTCTTAAGAACACTAGGGTAGAGCTGTGGTTTAGCATCATGGCATTGCAATCAAGCCTGTTTTGGTTGTAAACCAGATGGTGTTTTCTTGTTGCTGTTGTTTTTCTTTAGCCAGAAGTTATTTTCTTCCTCCTGTGTATATATAACTCCTTGAATCACAGAGCTTTTTTTTTTTTTTGAGACAGAGTTTCGCTCTATCGCCCAGGCTTGGAGAGCAGTCAGTGGCATGATCTCAGCACACTGCAACCTCTGCCTCCCAGGCTCAAGCGATTCTCATGCCTCAGCCTCCTGAGTAGCCGGGATTATAGGCATGAGCCACCATGCCCGGCTAATGTTTTTATGTTTTTAGTAGAGATAGGATTTCACCATGTCGGCCAGGCTGGTCTTGAACTCCTGACCTTAAGCGATCCAACTGCCTTGGCCTCCCAAAGTGCTGGGATTACAGGTTTCAGCCACTGTGCCCAGCCAAAGAGCTTTAATCTTAAAGTCATTAAAATGGTGGTGACAAGATAGAGGAAAGCATTGCTTCTGGCTGTGGTGTCCACTGAAACTTCCCTGAATAGTGATAATATGATAATACTACAGTATATTGCTCCTTCACGTATATTGCACCAAACAGTTTCAAAGTGCATTCCTGTTATTTATTCCTTGCACGTTTCCAAGAAAGGAAGGGGGGTGATGTTGTAAGGAGAGCCTACCATCGTATAGTCAGTCAGTCTCCTACCAGTAACATGTTCTTAAACAAAGCCTGATTCCTAATCACTGGATAATGGAGATTTTAAGTTGAGCCTTATAAATCTAGAAGCATCTGTTAATGTTAAAATAGTTTCACAATCTGTAACTCACCTGTTCTAATGGTTCTACCAGAGTTGGATTCAGAAATGTGGATCCTGACATTTTCTTTCCATAGTAGTCCCCTATTATCCAGGGCTTCACTTCCTGTGGTTTCAGTTATGTGGTTATCTGTGCTCTAAAAATATTAAATGAAAAATTCCAGAAATAAACAATTATTAGGTTTTAAATTGAGTGCCATTCCGAGTTACATGAGGAAATTGCACACAGTCCTGCTCCATCCTGCCTGGGATGCGAATCATCCCTTTGTCCCGCATATCCACACTGTATTCGCTCCCTGTCCATTAGTCACTTAGTAGCTCTCTTGGTTATCAGATTGAAAAAACAGTATATACAGGGTTCAGTACCATCCGTGGTTTCCAGCATCCACTGGGGGTCTTGGAATGTATCACCTGAGCATAAGCGGGGATTACTATATTGAAAGCTGCTTCTAATTAGTTAGGTCACTGTTGAGAGGGTGCCTATTACATGGGAAAAAATCAATCTTGTTAATTTTTTTTCCTCTTTGTGGAGAACAGGGTCTCGCTATGTTGCCCAGGCTGGTCTTGAACTCCTGGGCTCAAGCAGTCCTCCCGCCTCTGCCTTCCTAAGTGCTGGGATTACAGGCATGAGCCACCGCACCCAGCTAATCTTCTTAATTTTAACAGTCTGGAATACAAATGTAAGAATCTGTTCTTATATTTACATTTCATCCATAAATCCTTATATTCATAAAAGTTGTATTTTGAACAAAAGAAATTTACTCGTGGAAAAACTTGACATAAAAGAATTCTTCAGTTGTTTAATATATTTGATAATTAGAAATTCTATAATTCATAATAGTGATTTTTAAATTGGATTCTGAAAAGCTCTAGATATATGATTTCATCTGGAAAACAAAGCTTTCACAACTAAAATATTTACAAACAATTGATTTAAAAGCTAATGTTTCTTTATGCCCACAGACATCTATACCATTATATAGTCAGTCAATCTCCTACCAGTAACATGTTCTTAAACAAAGCCTGATTCCTAATAACTGGATAATGGAGATTTTAAGTTGAGTCTTATAAATCTAGATGCATCTGTTAGTGTTAATAGCTTCAAAATCTGTAACCTGTTCTAATGGTTTTAACAGTTTTATTGAGATGTAATTTGCATACCATACAGTTCACTCATTAAAAATGTACAATTCAGTCTTTTCCAGTAAGTTTATAGGGTCGTGTAACCCTCATCACATTCCAACTTTTGAACAATTTTGGCACCCCTCACCCAAAAAATACTCCATACACATTATCGGTCCCCCCATTCTCCTTCCACTAATGTTCCTCTTGGCAACCACCAATCTACTTTCTGTCTCTGTCGATCTGCTCTCTTAGACATTTCATATAGATGAATCATACTGCATGTGGCCTTTTGTGTCTGGCTTGTTTCATGGAATGTAATGTTTTCAAGGTTCACCCATGTTGTAGCATGTATCAGAACTTCATTCCTTTCATGGCTGAATAATATTCCATTGTGTAGATGGCACATTTGATTATCCATTAATCCATTTTCATTAGTCCATTTTCACACTGCTGATAAAGACATACCCGAGACTGTGTAATTTATACAGAAAAAGAGGTGTAATATACTCACAGTTCCATGTGGCTGGGGAGGCCTCACAATCATGGTGGAAGGCAAAAGGCATGTCTCATATGGCAGCGGCAAAATAGAATAAGAACCAAGCGAGAGGGGTTTCCCCTTATAAAACCATCAGATCTCATAAGACTTATTCGTCACCACAAGAACGGTATGGGGGAAACTGCCTGCATGATTCTGTCTCCCACCAGGTCCCTCCCAACACATGAGAATTATGGCAGCTGCAATTCAAGATGAGATTTGGGTGGGGACACAGCCAAACCATATCACCATTGATGGACACTTGGGTTGTTTCCACTTTTTAGCTGTCATAAATTATGCTGCTGTGAACAATTTATGTACAGATTTTTGTGGGTACATATGTTTTCAGTCCCCTACGGTCTATAGCTAGGAGTGGAACTGCTGGTTCCTGGGGTAACTATGTTTAACCTTTTACGGAACTACCAGACTGACTTCCACCAGGAATGTGCGAGGGTTCCAGTTTCTCCACATCCTCAGCAACACTTACCTTCCTTTTTTTAGACTGTAGACATCCTAGTGGTTGTGACGTGGTGTCTGCTTGGGGTTTTGATTTGCATCTCTCTAATGACTAATAATGTTGAGCATCTTTTCATGTGCTCGTTGGCCATTTATCCTCTTTGGGGAGGTGTCTATTTAAATTCTTGGCCCATTTAAAAATTGGGTTGTCTTTTTATTATTGAGTTGTGAGAGTTCTTTATATATTCTAGATATGAGTCCCTTATCAGAGATTTGATTTGCAAGTATTTTTTTCCTTTCTGTGGGTTGTCTTTTCACTTTCCTGATGGGATCGTTTGCAGTACTCTAATGATTTTTTAAAACATTTTCCTCCAGAATTTAGTCGGCGTCTTAAGGAACGCATGCACCACAATATTCCTCACCGATTCAACGTAGGACTGAACATGCGAGCCACAAAGTGTGCTGTGTGTCTGGATACCGTGCACTTTGGACGCCAAGCATCCAAATGTCTCGGTAAGATCAGCAGTTGTGCATCTGTGCTGGGCACCTGTGTGTCTCCAGCTAAAAAAAGTCTATCAGGTGGAGGTGATTTTTTTCTAACTCATCATGTAGTGCATTCATTTTCGAGCTTCTTATTTCAGTGGGAGGATGCTATTTCCCCCTTTTGAAGCTGTGAGTTTATATATGTCTGCAGCTCATGACTCCAACCTGCTGCTCAAAGTGCCTTAGGCTTTGCTAATTTCCAGCCCCTTTTTGTCAGGCTGGTCTCTCCCTACCTTTCTGCTGGCTCCAACTGAAACATGCAAGTATGTTCTTTACACACCTGTTTGTGGGTGGCCTGGATTGAAGCCTGGAAAACTGGATCAAGAGCACTTGGCACTTTTGTTTCCCCTTTCTGCAGGGGCCTGGCACAGGGGAAGCTCAGGAGACTACCTGCAAGTCAGGGCCAGATTCTCTGGGCCTGGCTGGGGTGGAGAAGCCCAGGGGTTGGCTGGCAGAGGAAGGGAAGGGTCCGGGGTCAGCTGAAAATGCCCTCACGTTGCTCACTGTTCTTCCCTAGAATGTCAGGTGATGTGTCACCCCAAGTGCTCCACGTGCTTGCCAGCCACCTGCGGCCTGCCTGCCGAATACGCCACACACTTCACTGAGGCCTTCTGCCGCGACAAAATGAACTCCCCGGGTCTCCAGACCAAGGAGCCCAGCAGCAGCTTGCACCTGGAAGGGTGGATGAAGGTGCCCAGGTACCGTGGCAGGGTGGCTTGGGCTGGAGCAGGTGCTGGCACAAGCCACTTCTGTCCCTGATGTTTTCTAGGGAAGTGTCTTTTCTAGGAATTCTGCCACCCCCTCATCCCATCCTCCAGCCTGATGATTCTTCTGAGTTCAGACATTTTTCTTTTCCATCTTGCTTTCCCCAGGAATAACAAACGAGGACAGCAAGGCTGGGACAGGAAGTACATTGTCCTGGAGGGATCAAAAGTCCTTATTTATGACAATGAAGCCAGAGAAGGTAAATTAATAATTCAGGGGGAAGGTCATTGCACGTGGCTAACCCAGGTCTCCCCAGTGCTGGCGCGAAGGCTTTGTTTTTTGGACTGCCTTGCAAGCCTTCTACGCTTTTCCATTTTTGAAACTTACAAACTAAATGACTTCTCTAAAGGTTATTGGTGCGATACTCACATCTATAGGTCTCCCCCCTGAAGAACCCGCAGGGCGCTGCCCTGAAGATTCCACCTGCTAATACACCTTCCGAGAACTTCTGCCTCAGTCAACTAACCCATAAATCCGCATCGTCATCAGAAATTTGACTGTGCTACTCATCTGACACACTTTATTTTTTTTTTATCTTCCCTCTCTGCCTTCTCTGCACACCTCTGTCCCTTCCTTGTTCTCGTGCGCCTCTCTTTACACACGTATCCTGTCTCTCTCTCCCTTGCTGTCTCTCTCGCTGTCTCTTCTCCTCTCTTCTCCCCTTGTTCTTGTTCCTGTTCTTTTGTTTTTCTTTCTGCCCTTCCTCTTTGCACCAAGCTGGACAGAGGCCGGTGGAAGAATTTGAGCTGTGCCTTCCCGACGGGGATGTATCTATTCATGGTGCCGTTGGTGCTTCCGAACTCGCAAATACAGCCAAAGCAGGTGAGGAGGAGCCGGAGGAGCCCCCGCCCTGGAGGTGGGCCGGGCTTGGCCAATCAGCAGGGACAGAAGGGGTGGTGCAGGGAAGATTGGCTCTGCAAAGGAGGCCCATCTTCCTCCGCTCCCCGCCTTGGTGGTAACTGGGATTTGCGTGGTTTGGTGGGAGCTTTGATCTCTCAGAGCCGTCCCTCCCAGTGGGAACGGGGGGAAATCCACACCCAATCCTGTGCTCTCTGTGAAATCTCCTAGATGTCCCATACATACTGAAGATGGAATCTCACCCGCACACCACCTGCTGGCCCGGGAGAACCCTCTACTTGCTAGCTCCCAGCTTCCCTGACAAACAGCGCTGGGTCACCGCCTTAGAATCAGTTGTCGCAGGTGGGAGAGTTTCTAGGGAAAAAGCAGAAGCCGATGCTGTGAGTATGAAAACGGGCCCTGGAGGTTGTCTTTGTAAAGGGGGCTGACTTGGTAACTGGTGTTAATGACGAGAATCCCATTGGCCCTCTTGATTCCCCTCGGGCTCCCTCTCTGAGGGCTGATGGCTTTAGACTGTGTCATGGCCAGGAGTCTGGTGATGATGAAGGCACAAGTGCCAAGGTAGCTTGTGTGGCATCATGAGCCATTTAGAATGTGGGAATCAGGGATGCGGTGGCTCATGCCTGTGGTCCCAGTGACCCAGGAGGCCAAGGCGGGAGGATCACCTGAGTCCAGGAGTTTAAAACCAGACTGGGCAAGATAGCAAGATCCCATCTCTTATAAAAAGAAAGAAAGCAAGCCAGGTGTGGTGACATGCACCTGTAGTTCCAGCTAGTAGGGAGAGTGAGGCTGGAGGATCGCCCAGGAGTTTGAGGCTGCAGTGAGCTATGATTGTGCCACTGTACTCCAGCCTGGGCAACAGAGTGAGACATGGACTGTGAAAACAAAACAAAGGAAAAAGAATGGGGGAATTGGCATCGGTAGTCTGCTCTGGTGGCATTGTAGACCTTGGTTGTGGCGATGCAACAGCAAATGTACTTATAAGGAAATCCTCTCTCCTGTTTACTCAAATGAGTTTGTCTGGTTTGAAGACTTGAGTTAGAAACACTTTGGCCACGAAGCAGCACAATAGGCTGCTGGCAGCTGCGTCCCCTCCAGGAAGGCTTTTCATAAGCATCTCAGTTGTTTTTGCAGTATTTGCTCTTCCGTAGGCAGGTTTGGAGTCCTACTTATCCTTAAGCTGTTAGAAACGTAGGTGTGCTGTGATTGGCATCACCCCACCTAGAATGTTCCAGGATACAAACAGTGCTCATTGCTCATGGGCGTTTGCTCCAGCGAAGACCAAACAGCTCTTTTCAGACTCTTCACTCCTAATAAACACTTTATGTGTTAGCAGTTGGAGGATTCTTAACCACGAGCCTCCTGAAAAGAACTTTACTCAGTGGTTAGACCTGTTTGGATGACTTGTTTGTCGTTACACACGTGAGCCTTTTACTGAAATCCTTGTTAATATGTGTACAATAGGCCCGAGTCTGTGTTTCTTACGAGCTTCTGCCTGCCTGGGTTCAGGTAAAGAGATGCAGAGGCGTGCTGGCTCGCTGCTAACACTGCGCCTTTGCACTTCTGCTGCAGCCTTATGGGGGAGGGAGTCTTTCATGTGTCTTATTAACCCTGCGCAGGTGAAATCTCCTTAGCTTCAGCTTATTTCTTATCACAGAATAGCTTTCCATGTCTACTATACTCCCTTATTTCTGCATCCCAGCCAAGTTATAACTCAGATGCTAATTAACAACTGCCCCAGAGATAACAATAGCACTCACATTTTGCATTTGGAGCTCAGATCAAAATATGGGGTGAGCTAAGAGCATATGTGTGTTTCTGAGCATTTCCAGGAATGACTTGGCCTTAACCTTCTCTTGATCTCTCTGGATGGCTTGGTCATAAACAGATCAGCCTCACGACGTCTTCTTTTTTTCTTTTCTTTCACCTATGAAAAGAAATTGCTTGGAAACTCCCTGCTGAAACTGGAAGGTGATGACCGTCTAGACATGAACTGCACACTGCCCTTCAGTGACCAGGTAATGCTTGTGTGGGCATGGCCAGCTGGTGTCTGGTTACAGTCACACCCCATCAAGAAAGAAAAGGCTGTGGAGGCCTTGTTGCTCTTAGTAGAGATTGTTCTGGTGACGTGACCATGCTTATGTTCTGCCTTCGGACTTCTGCCCTTGCAGGTGGTGTTGGTGGGCACCGAGGAAGGGCTCTACGCCCTGAATGTCTTGAAAAACTCCCTAACGCACGTCCCAGGAATTGGAGCAGTCTTCCAAATTTATATTATCAAGGACCTGGAGAAGCTACTCATGATAGCAGGTGTGAGACCAAGGACATGGTGCTTTTTCTTTACTTTCAAGGAAGCCAATATGTTGAAGCCAAGTTTCATGCTTGTAAAACACGAAATAGTAGACGGGAGCCGTCGTAGCTCTTATCTCTGTGTCCCCATAGATGCCTAAGCTTCAGTTAATGGACCCCCTCTGTCCAGATTTAATTCCCTTCTAGTATCCAGTTTAGCACAGTCTGACATTCCCAAAGAACATCCCACTGTTAGGCCAAGTGAAGAGTGCTAAGCCTCAAAGACTCACTAAAGCCAAACCCATTGTCCCGATTGCAAGAAAACCACCGTGGGTCATGACCTTCTGAGAGTTTGCTTGCTCTGTTACTCTGTGATCTCTTTCGAGTCATCGTTTGCTAATATTTTGTCATAATTTTTTTCCTCTCTTCTTAACACACACACACACACACACTTTCCTGAACCATTTGAGAGTTAGTTGCAGGTATGACGCCAAGTTCTTCAGTATATCAACCTAATGATTGAAAGCATTCTGTCACATAACCAGGGCACAATTTATTTCTCTCTGTCTGTGTTGCTGACATTATTTTTAAAGGGGGTAAACAATAATATATCGATTCAGTGTTTAAAACATCAACAGTTAGGTCTTGTTTCAGGCATGGCTGGATCCAGGGACTGACATACTGTGGTCAAGAACTGGCCTTTCTTAATCTCAGCTCTTTTTCCTCCCTCTCTTCCTTATTTTATTCTTTAGAGAAGTTTTAGATTCACAGCAAAATTGAAAGGTACAGAGAGTTCCCATATACCCCCGTTCTTATACATGCATAGCCTCCTCCACTACCAACATCCCCCACCAGAGTGACACGTTTGTTACAGTCAGTGAACCTACATTGACACATTGACACTGACACATCGTTGTCACCCCAAGCCTATGGTTTACATTAGAGTTCTCTCTTGGTGGTATACATTCTGTTGGTTTTGAAAAATGTATAATGACATGTATCCACATGTAGAGTATCATATAGAATAGTTTCACATACTATAATTTTTGCATTTAGGAAATTTACCCTTACTATAATACACGTATCCACTATGCTGCCCATAGTTGGATTTTACTCATGGCTCCTATAATGTCCCAGAATTTGTATTGCATTTAATCATGCCTCTCTAGTCTCCTTTAATCTGGAACAGTTCCTCAGCCTTTTGTCTCTCCTGACATCCACATATTTGGATAGTCTAAGCCTCTTTTTCATAGAATGCCCCCTCATTCCTCCCTCACACATTCTTTCTTTACTTTGTTGGGGAGCATGTTTGAAAGTACAGTTCACATTCTCCAATTTTATGTCTGCAGAATTCCACCCTCCTCAGAATCTTGACTAAAAGGCCAAATGTTTTTGTCTTAGATTTAAATCATGGACCTGGGCCAGGCATGGTGGCTCACGCCTGTAATCCCAGCACTTTGGGAGGCTGAGGCAGGTGGATCACAAGGTCAGGAGTTCGAGACCAGCCTGACCAACGTGGTGAAACCCCGTCTCTACTAAAAATACAAAAAAAAAAATTAGCCAGGTGTGGTGGCACGCGCCTGTAATCCCAGCTACTCAGGAGGCTGAGGCAGGAGAATCGCTTGAACCCGGGAGGCACAGGTTGTAGTGAGCCGAGATCGCACCATTACACTCCAGCCTGGGCAACAGAGCAAGACTCCGTCTCAAAAATAAAAATAAATAAATAAATAAATCATGGACCTAAAATATGTTTATAGGGATTTGTGGAAAACTCAGATCATCTGTGTGGCCTCTTGTGACTATTACTTGTGCCTAGAACTAGAACCACCATCCCATATCTTTACTTAACGGCTTCACGCTGACGAGAGGTTGTTCCTTTTCCCGTTCAGGAGAAGAGCGGGCACTGTGTCTTGTGGACGTGAAGAAAGTGAAGCAGTCCCTGGCGCAGTCCCACCTGCCCGCCCAGCCCGACATCTCACCCAACATTTTTGAAGCTGTCAAGGGCTGCCACTTGTTTGGGGCTGGCAAGGTAAGCTCCCCTCAGAGTCTCAGCTGGTGGAATGTTCTGGAAATTGGCACTACCTCTCTTCCCACAGAGCTCATTGATTTGACCTGCAAGATAGTGTCAACTTAACAAACAGAGGGGCTCTCTAAAAGAAAAGAGATTGATTTGGGAACAGGGCTTTGCAATGGGAATACATGTGCCATTGTAAACTATGTGGGTATCTAGGGAGATAAAGGAAGACAGAGGTTTGTAAGTGAGGATTCCATAATCTTTTTGAAATAATTATCCTTGGCTTCAAAGATTAATAACAAGACTGATGCTTGTCTGAGGTTGGACAGGTAGTCACTGGACAGATGTCCTTGCAGAAGTATTTTTTGTGTAAGATTGCAGTGACCTGGCGGGGCGCAGTGGCTCATGCTTGTAATCCTAGCACTTTGGGAGGCTGAGGCGGGCAGATCACTTGAGGTCAGGAGTTCAAGACCATCCTGGCCAACATGGTGAAACCCACTGTCTACTAAAAATACAAAAATTAGCCGGGCATGGTGGCACATGCCTGTAATCCCAGCTACTTGGGAGGCTAAGGGAGGAGAATGGCTTGAACCCAGGAGGTGGAGGTTGCAGTGAGCCGAGAGCACACAACTGCACTCCAGCCTGGCGGCAGAGGAAAAAAAAAAAAAGATTGCAATGGCCTTTGTGGTTTTTGTCGAGTCTCTTTTTTTATCAGGTATACAAGTGTGAGAACCCTCTCTTCATGGCCTCCTCCTGCTCTAATGTCAGGGTTTTCTTAACATTGGTGACTCCATTTTGATTTTGACAACGTTCACAATTGTACATCCTCAAACTAGGTTAAATTTCTTTTGCCTTCTTTAGGCATGTGAAATAATTTGTGTAGCCATGAAATTTGTACAAGTTTTGAATCTAAAATGAATGAGAGCAAAATGGGAATAAAATTAACAAAACTAGAAGGATGATCCATAATTTAAAAATAAGTGTGTGTGCATGTGCGTGTGTGTGTCTGCTGTGTCTGTGAGTGAGAGAGAGATGAACCTTAAAAAAAACTAACATGGATCTCCATGTCTGAACTCAATGAAAGTATGTTTCATTGCTAGAAATTTAAAAATTCAAAATTTATGACATTTACATAACAATTGGTTCATGAGAACTCAAGTTAATTCATTTGTAGCTTCTGGCATATTGAAAAGTGGCACATAAAATACCTTTGTTTGCTTCTTTAATCAAAAAGTCAAAAAATAACAGATGCTGGTGAGGTTGTGGAGAAAAAGGAACACTTATACGCTGTTGGTGGGAGTGTAAATTAGTTCAACCACTGTGGAAGACAGTGTGGTGATTCCTCAAAAACCTAAAAACAGAAATACCTTTCAACCCATCAATCCCATCACTGGGTATATACCCAAAGGAATATAAATCATTCTGTTATAAAGTCACATGCATGCGTATGTTGATTGCAGCCCACTCATAATAGCAAAGACAGGGAATCAACCTAAATGCCCATCAGTGATAGACTGGACAAAGAAAATGTGGCACATATATACCATGGAATACTATGCAGCCATAAAAAAGGATGAGATCATGTCCTTTGCAGGAACATGGATGGAGCTGTAGGCCATTATCCTTAGCAAACTAACACAGGAACAGAAGATCAAATACCGCATGTTTTCACTTATAAGTGGGAGATGAATGATGAGAACACATGGACATATAGAAGGTCACAATACATACTGGGGCCCCTCAGAGGGTGGAGGGTGGGAGGAGGGAGGGGATTGGGAAAAATAGCTAATGGATACTAGGCTTAATACGTGGGTGATGAAATAACCTTTACAACAAACCCCCATACCATGAGTTTATTGATACAACAAACCTACACATGTGCACCTGTACTAAGTAGAAAATAATAAAAAAGAGTATTTGCGGTACATGTATAACTTTAATGAAGTCTGAATCAGGTGTTTATAGACCCCCTGAGGCTACTGGCATTCTGCTGTTGAAAACCATTGCGTTTTGCCCCTCAGAAGACAGCACACTGCACATTTGTTCATTCAGTTGCTGGATCAACTTTTTTTTTTTTTTTTTTGACACAGAGTCTTGCTCTGTTACCCAGGCTGGAGCACAGCGGTGCGATCTCAGCTCACTGTAGCCTCCACCTCCTGGCTTTAAGCGATTCTCCCCCCTCAGCCTCCCAAGTAGCTGGGACTACAGGTGCGCACCATCATGGCAGGCCAATTTTTGTATTTTTAGTAGAGATGGGGGTTCACCATGTTGGCCAGGCTAGTCTTGAACTCCTGGCCTCAAGTGATCCACCCGCCACGGTCTCCCAAAGTGTTGGGATTACAGGCATGAGCCACTGCACCTGGCCAAAAATTTGTTTTTTGTTTTTTGTTTTTTTTGAGACAGTCTCACTCTGTCGCCCAGGCTGGAGTGCAGCAGTATGATCTTGGCTCACTGCAACCTCTGCCTCCCGGGTTTAAGTGATTCTCCTGCCTCAGCCTCCCGAGTAACTGGGATTACAGGCGTGCACCACCATGCCCAGCTAATAAAAATTTGTTTTTTAAATTAGAAATTATTTTCATTCTAATATCTGAACTGTTCAAAAAATGTATGGAACATATATGTAAACTATAAAGCCTAATAATGTCATAAGCATCCACACACTCACTACCCAGTCCAAGAAATAGAACATTGCTAACAATTTCCCTTTTCCTGTGTATTCCTCCCTTATCCCGGCCCATCTTCATTCACCCACTGTACCAGCTGCTGACGTTCATGCCAGGACTGATTTGAGCAGTCAACCTCATTTGGTGAATGATAAACTTCTGGTTGTAGCAGGAGAAGTAAAAGGGTTTCAGCTGTTCTAGAAAAACAGCGTTTTGATGTAGAACTCTGCACATGTATGAGTTCTTAGCTAAGAACTTTTCCCTTTGGATTGAAATTTTCTTTAAATTTGGGCGGGGTGTGGTGGCTCACACTTGTAATCCCAGCACTTTGGGAGGCTGAGGCAGGTGGATCATTTGAGACCAGGAGTTCGAGACCAGCCTGGCCAACATGGCGAAACCCCATCTGTACTAAAAATACAAAAATCTGCCAGGCACGGTGGTGCGCGCCTGTAGTCCCAGCTACTTGGCAGGCTGAGGTGGCAGAATCGCTTGAAGCCGGGAGGTAGAGGCTGCAGTGAGCTGAGATCACACCACTGCACTCCAGCCTGGGCAACAGAGTGAGACTCCGTCTCAAAAAAAAGAAATTTTCTCTAAATTCATTTAGCACCTCTCCCCTCTCTCATTCTGTCTCCTCCCCATCCCCACAAGGTAAGTTTGTCAAAAGATTCTGTCTCCAGCAGAAGGCACATGAGTGGGAAAGGTATGTGGTGTCAGGTGCTTCCCTGAGGCCTTCTCTGGATCCCAGGTAAAAGCCTTGGTTCTCGACCAGGGGTAATTCTGCCTTACCAGGGGACATTTGGTAATGGCTCGAGATGTTTTTGATTGTCACAGATAGAAGTGCTGCGGGCATCTAGTGGGTCAAGGCCAGGGATACTGCTCATATCCTGCAGTGTGCAGGACAGCCCTCCCCCCACCACACAGAATGATCTGGTCTGAATCATCAATAGCACCGAGCTTGAGAGCTTTTCCTAGTTTTGCCCCACAGCTGGTATCACACTGGTGACAGTCTTTTTCTTTTCTTGGTTGCTTCTCAGATTGAGAACGGGCTCTGCATCTGTGCAGCCATGCCCAGCAAAGTCGTCATTCTCCGCTACAACGAAAACCTCAGCAAATACTGCATTCGGAAAGTAAGTCCTGGGCCTTGCCTTGGTTGAACGTGGGAAAGCCAGTCCTGCTCTCTCAGCGAGCCAGTGTGGAAAGTGCACTGTCTTGGGACACAGCCTGTACCGGGTTCTTTCCACCCTGCAGGCCTTCAGCTTGGGGTGACCTCTGTCGTGAGCGAGATCCTTCCTTTGTGGAGGATCCTCCAGGGCCACTAGTAGCTGCGGTTTCCCTCCTCGCTTTTCTCCTCCCATTTGCGAACTGCCTCCCCATTGAGCCTGGTGAATTCAGCCTTTTGTTAGAACAGAAAGTTGACTGGTAGGAAAAAACAGTGGGGGGAAAAAGGGGGCACTTTCCAAGATGCTAGCAGTCCCAGGTAGCACTTTTCAGAATCTTTCGCAAATTCTAGAAGTTTCTATTAATATAACCTTCTGGACTAACCAGTGCTAGCACTATTTTGGTATATAATTAGGGAGCTGCTTCTCCTCAGAGCAGAGTGAGTTGTGATGATGACTGCAGTGTGGACGAGATGTGTGTTAGATCCTTAAATCTGCCTGGCTTCTGGAGAATGCTGTCTGATGTCCCTACCTAGGGTGTCCCACTCCTTCTAAGCCTGATATATTTCTGGTGCTTTCATGATTAGTTTCAAAAATAAAATGAGGCTTGGCACGGTGGCTCACATCTATAATCCCAGCACTTTGGGAGGCCAAAGAGGGCAGATCGCTTGAGGTTGGGAGTTTGAGACCTGCCTGGCTAACATGGTGAAACTCCATCTCTACTCAAAATACAAAAAAATTAGCTGGGCATGGTGGCGGGTGCTTGTTATCCCAGCTACTTGGGAGGCAGAGGCAGGAGAATTGCATGAACCTGGGAGGCGAAAGTTGCGGTGAACCAAGATTGTGCCACTGCACTCCAGCCTGGGCAACAGAGCAAGACTCCATCTCAAAAACAAACAAACAAAAAATTGAAATGAAGGGTGAATAATATATACGGGTCATTACCTGTTAGAGAAACTGTTCCATTCTGGGCAGGGTGGTGTTAGTTTAGTCTGTGTGTTCATTGAGTGCCCACCCTGTCAGGGACTGAACGGGCTGTTTTATAAGCACCTTTCCCCACAGTTCTGAAAAGCAGGGACAGTTATTCCCAATTTTCAGGTAAGACAACTGAAGCTGGCAGAAGATCCTCAGTTACAAAGTTGAGACCAAAACTGACGTTTGATTTTGTTTTTCTACCATTTCACTATATCATGCTTCCTCAAAGTTTTCCCATACTTAGTAGGTGACCAAGAAATATTCAGTGATGATGATAATGCTCACTAAATTCTCAGAAATCATTGCTTCTTTATGATTCCCAGCCACACATTTTGAATAGGTGTGTCTGGTTTTTTGATGACATTAGGATTGGCCTAAAAACAACTAAAAATAATCAGGAAGCAGATAATTAAGATGACAATAATGATGATCATGATGATGACTGCATAGGTAATATAGGTTCGAACTAGAAACTTTAGAAGCTAGCAAAAAGAAGGAAACCCAAACCATTGCTGTTGACCACCACTGTTAATAGTTGGTGTATTTTTCCTGTCTTTTTTTTCCTTCTGATAAGAATGTTGTATTGTTCAAGTTCTGTCTCTTCATTGGAATGCTGTTTCTTTCTTTTCTTTTTTTTTTGAGACGGGGTTTTGCTCTTGTCACCCAGGCTGTAGTGCAATGGCACGATCTCAGCCCACTGCATCCTCTGCCTCCCGGGTTTGAGTGATTCTCCTGCCTCAGTCAGCCTTCTGAGTAGCTGGGATCACAGGCGTGCACCACCACACCTGGCTAATTTTTTGTATTTTTAGTAGAGACAGAGTTTCACCATGTTGGCCACACTGGTCTCGAACTCCTGACCTCAGGTGATCCACCCACCTCAGCCTCCCAAAGTGCTGGGATTACAGGTGTGAGCCACTGTGCCCA